ATTTGAGAAATGAACATCACCTCCAGGTACATTTTTGCTGGGTTATAATTAAGCATATTTTGAATATGTTTTAAAACAGACATGCTGTTTTTTAAAGTGCTGGAAACCTTCTTAACATGTTTTCTAAAACTGAAGGTTGGATCCAAAACTAGGTAAGTATTTAAGTATACTAAGTATTTAAATTCCTCTACTGCCCGTATGTGTGTGGATAAGGAGACTTGTGTCTTTGAGTTTTGGTGAAGTACATTTCCGCTGTTTTGTTTGTGTTCAACGTGAGGGATGCAGATTGTAGCCAGTGTAAGATGTTCTCCATTACATTAGTTAGTTTATTCACTACAACTGCTGCATCGCTTCCGTGCACATAAACAACAGTGTCATCTGCATACATTAGTCTGTCTGCAGCACCAGTCATTAATATAAATTGCAAAAAAGCAGTGGCCCAAGAACAGAGCCCTGTGGAACACCCATTTCATCAGCCTTAGATGTTGATAGCTTTGAACTAATGCGTACACACAGATTGAAAAAGGACTGTTAGAAGCCATGCTGTCTGCTTGGTTAGAAATTGCACCAGTCTGCTGGTGAAATTACATCTTTGTATTTGACCCATTCCCGCGGGATTCAATGAGCTGCAGCAGTGGTTGTGCTCGGGAACTATTTGGTGGTTTAACCCCCCAATTCAACCCCTTAATGTTGAGTGTCAAGCAAGAAGGCATTGGGTGCCATTTCTAAAGGCTTTGGTATGACCCAACTGTGGATTTGAACCCACGATCTCCCAGTCTTAGGGTGGACACTCATACCACTAGGCCACTGAGAGGGACAAGAAGAAAACAATTCATGATAATATGCACACACAGAAAATCTGAACTTCTGCTTTGTTGTTCCCAAACAGTAGAGGAACTATCATGTATAAATCAATCTTCTATCAATGCATTTACCAAGATCTAGAACTTTTTTACATTTTCACCCTCTCCTCACATTAGCTGCAACTTTGAAGATGATGCATTGTCACACCTTGTTGTACCAGCTAGTATCTAAGGGCTGTGTGCCTGATTTAATGTCCTCTCACTCTGGTTCTGACACAGAGTCAGCTCCTGTACACGGCTTTGGGGTGATGGATTATCCACCTGCAGCTACAGCAGGGACTGCTGAGACTCCACTCCACCCCACAGCCGGCTCTGAATCCAGACACACAGAGATCGGACCGCTGAAAACCTCGTCAACAGCTGCAGGGTAAACTATGGCTTGTATAGCACAGACGTGCCATGGTAATCCTGATTTTTACAAGCTAGCATTAATCTAAAAGTCTTGTAGCTGCTGATTTTGTAGAAAATTAAACTTAACAACCAAGACAGGTAATTAAAACATAACATACACTTTGAATTTTTGTTTAATTTTGGACATAGAAAAGAGAGAGAAAAAGAGTTTGTAATAATTAATGAGTCATTCTTTGTTATAAAGGTTAATTAACAGTAATTAAGATCTTTACATGATCCTGAATAACAAGTATTGTTTGGCATGGTGCTTCTGGTTCTTTTCTACCTTCTTGTACTCTCCCAAAGTGCCCTTGATCAATTAATCTTCCCACTTTAAGCCTTTAACAGGTGTTCCACTAATTGTGAAACCAGTTATTGAACATGACATCATATTATGTTGTCAGCTTTTAAAAAATAAAGAAATTAGATACAGGGAAGGCAAAAGAGTGTCGGTAAAGAGCCTGAAGATGTCATTTATAACTGATCCTTTGCTACATTGTTGGTTGTGTACCAACATCACACTGATAGGGGTTCAGAGGTCAGGGTTAAACGGGTAAACTCATTTTCATTAGTACTGAAAAGCAATATATTATGCTCAATCTGAGGATCTACACATTGTTTTGCTTCATAAGCATGAAATAACTGCAAATGAATAGCAGAAAAAAATAACTAAAATAAGAGACTAGTATTGTTTTAGATGTTCTTTTGACTTTCTTCAAGACTTCAATCCTTAAATGTGGTTGAAGCTTTACTTAAAGGTGTGGTTCACTTGTTTAATGCATTACCCCAAAATTCCACTATCTCCGCTCCGCCCCCGCCCTCCGCTGCCGCTCGCTTCCGAACTCAAATTATACTATACCCACTCTACAACGGCTCCGCTCCGGTACGGAGACCTGAGGTGCACAAACAGGCATGCGTGGGATTTTCGAGATCTTGCGATACAGTCCGAGCAATAAACACGGAAGTTAGATCCAAACACCCGTTGTGTGGGAGAAGCATCGAAATGAACTGTTTAATCTGCCCATCATTTGTGTTGAGAGATCAGCAGTGTTTGGATCAACAAAGTGTGACTACTTTGATAGTAGAAACTGTATTTATGGCTTATTTTTGTGCATTTAAAGTTCAACCGCCATTTATAGTTGTTAAAAGTTGTTAAACCTGCGCATATGAAACAAAAACGCTTTTTGTTTATCGATTTATTGTGAAAAAACGGAAGCTGTGCTTGATCCCTTTCCTGTTGGGCGGTTGTGATTTCTGTCCATTTACTGCGGAGGTGCAAAAATAGAATCGATCCTATTTTTGCCGGATGGCGGAATGGCGGGAGGTGCACTACGCCACATGGCCGCAGTAGTGGAACAGCTCTGATTGACTACAACGGGACCGTTTTTGCTGCAGAGTTCGTGCCGGAGCGGAGCGGAAATAGTGGAATTTTGGGGTTAGTCTCTAGCAGGAATGAATGCCTTGTATGAATGTACAAAAAGCCCTGGGGCCTCATTAACCAAGCTTGCTAACGCACAAAATGGGGTTGGAAAACTGCGTAAGCAACTTTCCACGCAAACTTTGGGATTTATGAAAGAAAGCTTAGCGGAAAAATATGCGCAACTTTAAGTTGACTAAGGACCTGGCTTACGCACATTTTGGACATGGAGAGCACCTGCAGTGCTGCTGCTGAGAAGGATACAATTATGAAATCCTGCAGCATTATCACTTGTACTGCTTCGTTTTCACACAGAACAAGATCCCCACACGCACACACACGTGCACGTACACACACATGCGCGCACACTCACACACACACACACACACACACACAGCCTGAAGCACAGAATACGGAATGCAGAATATCAGCAGGGGGACAGATTGAGACATAATGTCATGCAGACAGTGTCACTGTGACCCGATTGATGATGCGCCCTGGCTACTAGGGCAGGGAAGATCTCTGTTTGGGTGACTGGTTAGCGTGCGTGCTTTTCACCTGGGAGTTGGGGGATCGAATCCCAACTGGACCTTTTTTTAATATCCACCACAGATCTCTGAAGAATTCACATCATTGATGGCTTCAGCAACGCTGTGCCACTTCGTGGATTTTCTCTTATTTCTTTTGCAAAAGCACTTCCTTTCATTTCTCCACCTCACCCACAGGTACCTCAATTTCTGCTTCTGTGAAATTGCGCTTCCTTGATCTGCCTTGATCTACGGTAGCCATTGTCATTGGCGGAGCGCTGCAACAAGCCGGCTTATGTATATGCATGAGATCCACAAGGCACTTTGCATTGACTATTTATGACAGTAAGTGGGCGTGGTGAGGGCGGGATGTGACTAAAATGCAGCTGAGAAACATTCTCGTTAGTCTCCAATTTATGAAGCGGAGATTGCGTGCAGCTGTGCGTACTCCATGTTTGATAGATCACAAACCTACTTGGCGTGAGTACAAATTTTCGCTGAGCTTAAGTACGGTTTTAGTAAGGATTCTACACAATGTTTGATAAATGAGACCCCTGGTGCGTCTGCAAGGGCGCCCTAGAAAGGTGCCCCCCCCCCTCCCCCCAGGAAAAGGCAGTGTTAACAAATCATATTAATGTTCAGTCAAACCATATATTGACCTTGTTTATTCAAGACATAATTGTAAAGCTAAATAAAAATATTACAATTAATGACTAGTCATAATAAAAAATATGTTTCTGCTGCTCACCATTTAAAAAAAGTTTTTACCTCCATAATTTTTTAACACAGCAACAGGTGAATTAACCTAAAAAAATACATTTTTAATGAAATTTGAGATAACCCTATAAATAACTGAAATAAAATGTTCTAAAATATTTGTGTTTGTAAATTTTAAGTTAACTGTTTTGGATACGTACTGTTATTTTAATAAAAATGAATAAAGGTGCAATGCAGTAGTACATCACCACAGACTAAATTCTGTCTGAGTTACCACAAGGACCAATTTGGTGTGCCACCTCAAAAATTTCTTTGACCCCATCTGGCTACCCCTATCAAAATTTTCTGGAGGCGCCCTGTGTGTCTGTTTCAAGATCAGAGGAGAGCTGATTGGTTAACATCAATGCAACTCTACCACTGACTCTGTTTACTTTCCAACACTGATGATTTATCTCCACAAATACCACAAGCCTAGATGAGTTTTGCCATGTGGTGGAGTTGCTAATGCTAACAGTTAGCTTCTACTAGGCAAAGACGTTCCTGGACGCAAAAATAACAACAGCCTTCCCCGTCACATTTCAAGATGTGTGGGCCCATGAATGTTAAGTGACAGTGTGATGTCACACTGTCAGGCTTTTCAAATCCTAGCATTTCATCATCTATTTTCTATCAGAAGCTGACGCAGGAGGTAGGTGTAGCAGACTATTTTCATGTTCAGCCTGCATGAAAAACTCTGAGTGACTGATTATAACCAGAAATATTAATTTTAAAATGATTTTTCTGTGATACACACCTTTAATACTTAATACCACCATGAGTTAGCCATTCAAGCCTAAACCGCTTGCAGTATGACTGAGTTTAGGAAGATACTTGAGTAAAAGTAGACCATATTATGGATCAGTTTGCTTTGTTAAACAATCAAATATTTACTGTCGTTTGCAACAGGTGGAGAGATGTGACTCTGACACAGTATCCCAAACTAGACTGGTGTCCCTGTTTCACACATCTGGTTAATGCTGGGTCATATCAGGTGTATGTAATTGTCAGCACACACAAACACATTAAACACCCATTAAGCATCCTTACCCAGCCAACCTGAGCTGGAGTCTGGCACGCACATGTCGGTCTCCGCACTTGGCAGCACAAATCCCACCACGAACACTTCTACACCATCTGACATGAGGGCCAGCCCCAGCACCAGGAACAGCTGCCACTGGAACCTCCCGTGCCCGCACTCCTGCATGATCAGCTCATACTGCTGGGCCAGCTCCTCTTCATCCGCCTGCCTCTCCTGCTCCAGATCATCACGGTCCCTTGTGGCATCTGACATCAGTTGTCCCATCACCACCTGGCCATCCTTTTGCTTCTTGTCTCCTGCTGAGGGGATCCCCTGATACTCTCCCTCGTAGATCTCGTCCTCATCATCGTGACCCTCTGTGGCATCGCTGGAGCCTTCCTCGTTGTCATAGCCCTCTCCTTCCTGCCCCTGTTGGTTCTGGTAGAAATCCTCGTTTTCATCCTCCTCATTTTGGAATCGAGAGTAGCTTCGATGAGATGAGTACTCATCCGCAGCACGGTCAACCACTTTGTTGACTTTCTTTGCAGCGTGCCGCTTAGCTCCTTTGACCATGTCTTTGGCCCCTTTCACCAGAGAAGTCCTGTTATTGTAAGTGTCCTCCATTGTGGCTCCAAAGGCAGGTTTTCAGTGGACGGTGAGACACAGAAGAAAAGAGGAAAAGGGAAAGATGGTTGGTGCAGGACGGTGGAGAGATCAGTGGGTCCTGAGATGATGCAGGAGGAGGAAATCTCTTGAGTGTGTTTGTCACCACAGGAGGTAACACTCAATGTTTGTGGCAATCATGGGCCAGGTGAAGAGACCTACGGGAAAGATTAGAGACAGACAAGTAAATATTAGAAAGAAAAGCTGGATCAGAGGAAAATAAATATTTTCACTAAAATGATCAACGACTAACCGCACATGTACTGTTTAATCATTCACACACCGAGACCTTTTAATCGTGTGGATTGTTACAACAATGCTCACTTTTTATTAAAGGGAACATTCAGTTTCCTCCTTGTTCTATATTTAATGAGCTGGCACTGTTTTGAAGAGATGATTACTGCAAACAGAAAATGTTGAATCCGCTGAGTCATGATCCGCTCTGTGAGAAAAATAAGAGTCTCTGCCCAAAATCAATTTGTCCCCAATAAAGCACTGGTTTGTTATAATGGGAGTGACGACATGACTGGAGCCATGCTGTCACATTTAATTCAAGTGAGGAAGGAGGAAAGTGGTCATGAGTGGGTATAAAGACAATACACACACACACACACCTTTCTCTCTGAAGCTGCTGGTACTTTGTTTTCAGGTGTTTTAATGCACATCATGAATTACTTAAGTGCAAAAATATTTGTCACACATTTACTGACTGAAAAAAAGGATTTTCTTGTTCCCAATGGTAGAAAAGTTATATAATATGAGTATCAGGTTTTATATGAATTTTCTATATTTTCATATTTTTTAGGTATTTGAATCAAGTCCAAAATAACTTCTGATCTCTTATCACGACCAAACTTTAGCATTATGATGACAACAGTTTAATTTTAACATGTTTTCTACAGCATGTCTTGGATTTTAGATCATTCTAACATCAATCAGAGATGTATAAAGTTATTTAAAAGTAAAACATTGAATAGTCTTCAAAAATTTGTATTTTAGCTTCTTTTTTTTTCATATTTCTAAATTATTTTGTTGCATAATCCAATTTCACCTAATGTCCTGGTCAGATTTGTAAGGAGTTGTGGGCTTTTCCCCATGCAACATGCAAGAGAAACAGTCGTGAGCCCTCATTAACTTTTCAAGATCAGTTAAGTTTCATGTACAGTGAATATCAAAAGTCTACACAGGTGCAAAAAGTTCTGGTATTAAATATCTTTGTCTCTTTTTTGTACACAAAAGGAACATGACATTTTACCAGGACTGTTGATATTCTGTTTGATTTTGACACATGAGAGAAAAACTGGTTAATTAATGCACACATACACATCCATCCATCCATTTTTGGCCTCTTATCTAGATTTGGGTCACGGGGGCAGCAGCCTGAGCAGGGAGGCCTAGATTTCCTTTTCCCCAGTCACTTGAGCCAGTTCCTCTGGGAGAAATCCTAAGGCGTTCCCTGGCCAGCTGAGAAACATAGTCCCTCCCACGTGTCCTGGGTTTTCCTTTAGGTCTTCTTCCGGTTGGACGTGCCTGGAAAGCCTCACCAGGGAGGCATCCAGGAGGCATCCTATCTAGATGCCTGAGCCACTTCAACTGGCTCCTTTCAATGTAGAGGAGCAGCGGATCTACTCCGAACCCCTCCTGGATAACCGAGCTTTTCACCCTATCTCTACAGAAGAGCCCAGACACTCTCCGGAGAGAACTCATTTCAGCCGCTTGTATCCACGATCTCATTCTTTCGGTTACTACCCAAAGCTTGTGACCATAGGTGACGGTGGGAACGTAGATTAACCGGTAAATCGAGAGCTTTGCCTTCCGGCTCAGCTCTCTCTTCACCACAACAGATCGGTACAAATCCCGCATCACTGCAGACGCAGCACCAATCTGCTTGCCGATCTCATTCTCCATCTTTCCCTCACTCGTGAACAAAACCTTGAGATACTTAAACTCCTCCACTTGGGGCAGGATCTCATCCCTGGCCCGGAAAAGGCATTCTACCCTTTTTCCGAATCATGCACAGTGAAACACAAAAATATCAGACAGAAAAAAAAACATAGAAATCCCTTTCTAAAACTGATTCCCACCTCGGATCTGAGAAATGAACTAAGGACATGATAAACAAAAAGGATAACCTCCAACATCAAACTGAGGAAGCCCTGTCCCATTATGGTAGTCCAGTGATGAAAGAGTTAAACAAATGATTAAAAAGTACCTTTTACAACCAATCAAGCAAATTAAAAATCAAATTTATCATAAATTATATTTTCTTAGGTTAGGGAGCACATTAATGGGATGATCAGGTGAGTTGGGTGGGATGATCAGACCTGTCTACTGGTTCCCTTTTGTCTAGGAGTGACTCACCAGTCTGTAATAAATGCTGAAGCCTTGTCAGGAGGACACAAATCACGGGGTCGTCTCCGGCTGCCATAATGCAGTTTTACTGAGCTAAATTACATTTCTTATTCAAGGTGACTTTACTGATCTCTTTCTGCTTACTGGATGACTTTTGTGGTTATGAGCATCCTCAGACTGATTGTTACAGTTTGCTTGAATAATAACAAATACAACTTTTGGGGCTACTTCTCTTGTGGAGAAATAAGTGTTTTTAATTCCTCAGACAACACAAACCTTGAGCGGTGTGTGTCAAAGTTCATGTGCTTCAGAATGATGGCTGATTTTGATAGATGGAGCCTGTTTGTCAGTGAAGCAGTGGGCTGTGCAGTGAGAAGAGCTGTCAGTGATGGCGCTTAGACTGAAGTAACCTAACCTCACCTGAACACCGCTGATGAGACCACGCCATCGCAGACAGCCTGAGCCAAGCGAGCAATCACAACAAAACTCAGAACCCCACAAACAGACCATGATACACATATTGTTTGTTTTATTTACCCAGATTAGTTGTTTTTTATTATCTGTGTTAGCTGTCATGGTAAATTATTTGTCTCTTTGTGCACATACAGTACAGCTAATCCAGCATAGTCACTAATAAAAGTTCAAAATCATTATGTTTATCTCACTCCAGACTTCAGGTAGAACGGTCATCAGCAAATCAACAAAAATTTGATTTTACACTGTTTGATGATAAACTAGTGATCAGGAAATGTATTGGACCAGAAGGGTGACGTATCTGTGTAGTGTCCCAAGGCAGAACCAGTAGACAGTGTGTGTGTGTGTGTGTGCGTGCGTGCGTGCATGCGTGTGTGTGTGTGTGTGTGTGTGTGTGTGTGTGTGTGTGTGTGTGTGTGTGTGTGTGTGTGTGTGTGTGTGTGTGTGTGTGTGTGTGTGTGTGCTGTTGTTATGTCTCAGTTTAGCTGAAAATAGTTCTTGTTCTCTCTGTTCATACACAGGCTGACATCCTTTCTTTCAGCCCCTGGTGGAAAGATCAGATTTAATGACACATTTTCAGTAGGTAGAGACGTTTTGTGGGAATATCTCGACTGATCCATCCTCTGGTGCTGTATTTCAGCTCTGCCCAGACTGATGTCCATGTATTAGCATGTTTAGGAGCATTCATCTTACTATATGGCATTTCCGCTGCCGTAACGTCTCATTTTCTGGGAAAATTCCTCTCTCGATCATGGGTCTTTCTGTCTCCCTTACTTTTTTGTCAAAACGTACATGAAATACTCCAGTTCGAGAATAACATGGCTAACTGTAAGCAAACACATTTGTTATAAATGACAAAATACCCGTGGTGCATAATTCAAAACGATCATCAAATGTTTTTAGATTCTAAGTAAGCATTATAACTGTAGTGTAAGGAAAGTATATTTAAATCATAAAAACGTTTTTATGAATCTTTCTTCAGAAAAAATACAATTAAGACAAATTTCAACCAAAAATAAGAGGTTTCTACAAACATGGTGGGTGAACATATAGATTAAAGTTGTTGTTCATACCAAGCTGCTGCAGCCAGTGATTTTTTTATAAAACTCAACATCTTGCTAATGGAAGCTTTAAACGTCAAACAATTTTTGACGTTGTCTCCACCATGATCACAATTCCTGAAACCTCGGCCTAGATCTGACTTTTCAGTGTCCTCGCCTTTCAAAGGCATCTATAAGAACAGAGGCATGATGGGTAATTTGCTGTATTAGCATCAGGAAAAGCAGGTCCATTCCCTAAGTGGGTAGAGCCACAAGTAATCCCATCAAAACGGAGAGCCCGTGACCTCATCCGAGACGTATCCGAGCTGGGAGATTTCATCAAACACTGATGCCATTACTGACTCAGAGGAGACATGAAGGTTTTGGGAAGAAACATAGTGTATGGCAAAATAAATGATAATATAATTCAGTGTTAGATGTTATGGGTAAGGCAGAGTCAAAAAAGGGGGGAGTTCCCTGCTCACATATGAAAATGGAGTTAGATTTGACTTCACTCATATTAAGATGCTTCTTGATCACCCATTAACTTTCCACATAAACATGAAACACTGCTGCATAAGGCCGTGTGATGAATATTTCCTGTTCTAAAAGTTTTCATGTGATGTGTAACGTTTCAAAAACTGTGAAAGAAAAACACGTGGAAGTCAAATTGTATTTAAAATAACATTGACTCTGCCAAATGGACCCAGAACACAAGTAAGCTAATGCATTTTTTTCCTATGAAAAAGCATTGATAGAAACAGGAGAAATCTTAAATTAATTTCACTAAGTAGCTCATCTTTTGCTATAATTATTGTCTTAGATCGTTTTTAAAGTTTTCCCTGCAAGCTCCACTTTCAATTTTTGAAGAAAACACGGATAGAATGTGAGTGATGATTTTTACAGCACAAAAAGCTTCATTAGAGGAAGTTTCTCGTGAATCTGACTTTTGCTTAAATGCTAACGAAAACGAAATCAATGCAAAGTGGATGCATTCTGCAACTTGCAATCACTTCACCTTAACATTTTTTTTCTCATTAAGTGCTCCTTTCCGTGCATGTGAACCCCAGCAGGGCTGCTATGCAGTCTTGGGATTGCAAACAAAGCACTTTGCTGCAGCTTTCCAGTTCAGCGACTGTGATCCTGTCAGTCGCTGGCCGACTCTGGAGTTGCAGTTCATGGATGAGTCAGTTGCCTGCCTTCGCATCCTCTCCTCTGTTTGGCGGCAGCGCAGAGCGCTTTAACTGCCCCGGGGCAGGGGGCTGGATCGCTCTAAAGCATCCACAGCCAGCTCTGCTCATACCAGGGAGGAGAACTTCTGCAAATTATGACGAATTTAGAAATCACTGAGAAAAACTAAATACATCATAGCTCTGATTATCTTAATGAAAAAATGCATAATGGTGTCCGCATTCAACTAGATTTTAAAACGGAAGCTGAATCATAGATCTTTAATTATAGACTAACCAGTGAATTGCAGAATTGTTCTAATAAAGAATTGAGAAGAGCCTAAAAATTCCCAACTTTCAACAATACAATTTTAAGAGGGTGGTTTATAAAAAGGTTTTCCTTGATTTCACGTGCAGTCTAATTTCCCCAAATCGACAGGATAATTCCGCTTTTTAAAAAAGTAATTACTTACCGAGTGTTATGGAAGTAAAAGTGGCCTGAGCTGAAGGAATCCCATCGCATCAGACACTGCTGTCGTGTTCTGTAAAATAAGGAGGATCCAGTGGATTGTATCCCCCCCGTGGAGCAGCTCGGACTAGGTTTTCGTTTCCCCTCCGACGCAGCGCTCGCTGAGAGGAGAGGAGAGGAGAGGAGAGGAGAGCGCGCGCAGGAGAGAGCTGCTGGCCGGAGAGAGGGGCAGTGTGATCGATAACTGTGTTTCATTGAGTGATGCGGGTAATTCCGTCTGATGGAGCAATCTAGTTAAGGTGACTGACGTGAAACACTGCAAAGCATTAACGCAGAACGGAGGGAAAGGGATTAACTCAGACGCGGACTGTGTTGTAAATCACAGGTTTAACTGGAGAAAGACTTGTAGTTAAGCAAGTTTTGTTATTTGATAGAAATGAAATTACAAGAATAATCTACATGAACATCGGGGGTTTTGCTCAAGCTTGAGCCGTTTTCAGTAAGTGGGAGTCCTTCCACATCTCTGCAGAACCAGCTCTGCTGCTTTTTAACCAAATTCCTGTCTCTGTCCGTGGTGCTGATCCAGCAGCCTCTGAGTGCGTCAGGTTTGGGGAGCTGAATAAAACAAAAATATGCCGTTAATATTCGCACTCAGCTTCGTTCCCAAAATACAGACGCATTTTGAAAAATGTTTCATGATTCAGAGCTGAGTTTTATGGAGGTGTCTTCCGCAAAAAGGATGGGGGAACAAATTGAAAGATAACAGATTGCGTGGTGGACGTGTCATTTACATTTGACCAGGAAGAGCATTCAAGAATAACGAGCTTGTATGGCAGTGTAGTTGGAAGGAAGCTCTGCTGCCTTAAAGTGGGAAGGTTGCAGGTTCAACACCGTGGAGATCCTTACGGGCAGGAATTTGCATTTCCGGTTTGCTTTCTTCTCCTATAGGACTTAAAACTTGTGCGTTTTATGTTAACTAGCCACTCTGTGTGTGTGTGTGTGTGTGTGTGTGTGTGTGTGTGTGTGTGTGTGTGTGTGTGTGTGTGTGTGTGTGTGTGTGTGTGTGTGTGTGTGTGTGTGTGTGTGTGTGTGTGTGTGTGTGTGTGTGTGTGTGTGTGTGTGTGTGTGTGTGTGTGTGTGTGTGTGTGTGTGTGTGTGTGTGTACTTGACTTTATAGGATTATGAGGACAAATTTTAACTTTAACCTGTACTGTGTGGACATTTTTACATTGTGGGAACATTTTTCTGGTCCACACAATGCTGTTCATTTCAAACTAGTTGAGTGTGAGAGCATTAAACTGATGGAGCATTTCCAGGAGGTCCTCTTACAGGACATGTTCTGCACTTCTCCTGGTTCCTATCCAACCAATTAATCAGAGTAAGGTAAACCTTACCTGAAACTTGATGCCCAGACCTGATCATTTCAGAATAACTTTCATCAGAGACAGCTGTGACTAGAGAATAGCTACAGAATATGTGTGAATTTCAAATTCCAGACAAACTGCTATTAGGCATAATTCACTCAAAGGTGAAACTATTTTTACTCTCAGCTGATAGCAGACGGGTAAAATTATTGATTGCCACCTTACAAAGATTACACAGTCCTTTTGCAACAACTGCATGATCTTTATTAGACTACCCACAAGGGACATAAGTGGGCTCTTTAGATGAATGGTGAAATGGCGACTGCATTCTTCCCGAGTCCAATAATGTCTTTGAAACCCGTCAGAGATTCCCTGAGAAAATGAAGACGAGGAAGTAAGGAGAGAGTGAAGCAAGCATCGAGACATCAAGCCCCTCCGTATGCATATTGTCACAAGCTGCACAACCAGTTAGAGTCTTCTGCACTGGGAAAAAAACAGCCCAATTTTGTTTTCTTAAACTAGAAAATGTTTGTTTCATTTTATCCAGAGAATTCAGTAAACATACATGACTGTGTGTTTGCTGTAAGAGTTTGATCACTGAGGCGAGGCTATAAAAGTGAATGTGCAGCACATTCACCACAGTGAATGTTATTATTAAAGATGCGTGAAGTCAGTGCAGAACACACACACACACACACACACACACACACACACACACACACACACACACACACACAAAGAAATTCATCCATCTATTTCTGCCATCTATTTCTGAATTGGATGCTACACAAAAGCAGGGCTCTTTCTCTCTCTTTCTCTCAGAACACCCCCCAGCCCCCCAAGCCATAAGAATCTATTGAGTGCAGTTGGAGAGACGAGGAGCACTTAGCCTAATGTACAGGACAGTGGCGTCATCATACACATACACACTGACAGAACATGGTGCACACAGGGGCTCTGGCAAAGGAGATGCACAGAGATTTACATCTGCACACCAAGATTATGGTTCTGAAATGTGTGAAATAAAACAGTTGAGGAAGGAATTCCAACAGATTAAGAAAGTGGCCATGTTGAAATTCAATTTAGGCAGGAGATACATGAGATATAATAGTAAGAAATAAAATATGCTTTCCATCAGTGAAATCTTCTTACTTATATATAAAAAATAAATATTTAACAGATTAAATAAAAAGAGGAGCTGATGAAGACAGTCTATTTGACATTTGTTTTATTCACCATCATTTCTTTTGAATTTTTAAAATCTAGATATGACTGACATAGCATTGTGCTGCAATATGCTATGGGTGGACAAATTAAATTATGCATAGATATTAATAGATCATTACACTTTATTTTAGTGAGGATTCGCTTCTGAGCTATTTTTTTTTTACTGTATAAACTAAGAGCAAGACTCATAAAATACCCTTAATAGGATGCTGATTATCTCAAAGGGACAAGACATAAACCCTTCTGGTACAGACAGCACTAAGATTTTAGGATAAACACCTAAACAAATTGAAACAATACTTAAATTAAATTATTCAAAACTTATGGAGAAACCGGCACATGTTTGTTGATATCAACAAAAATCAAACTACAAGCTTGTGTTGGCTCTGTCGCGTTCATGTTAAATCAGAATGCTGCATCTAGTTCACAAAACTGTTTTGATCATTTACAAAACAGTTTTTGCATGTACATGTTACAGTCCAGAGATCAGAAATGAAAATTGTACCTGCAGTAAGTCATTAAAGGTAAGTGCGGCCCTGAACAACCATCTGCCGTGCATCTTCATCTGCATCAAAACAAATTAACTTGGACGCTGATTGTAATTGTTCGTGTCTCGTTAAGATACAGCAAGGACAAACAGATCGCTCATACGACTGGAAACATCGTTTTGCAGGGATTCGCTCTGCATGTTAGAAAAGAATACAATCAGCCTTGTTGCATCTGGTGATGGCTTTTATCTGAGTGCAAACGGTGCAGCTGTGTGTGTTTAGCAATATCTGATGAATGTGGGACAAAAGTATCCTGAAAGGACGCTGGTGTTACTGACAGAGGGACATGATGGATTAGAGTGTCCTGAGGGGGAAGTCCTGTTCCATCAACAAGTAATGAAAACTAATATGAACACAGCAGCCAGCTATGAATAACTCTGAGAGGAGTTGTGGTAACGCCGTGTCCAGTCAGGGGTCGTTATTGTCTCATATGTGAGGAAAAATGGGTGGAAAACGTCACGATTGATGGCAGCACATTAGCTGTTGTCTGCAGGAGTGATAGCAGTCTGTGAATATGTCGGACTGGAAATCAATCACCAGCAAAAGCAACATTACACCAAGTCTGTAATCAGTTTCACACAATAAAGATGGCAGCACATGAAAAGGCACAAAGCAATAGCAAGAATAAGCATGTTTCTGGATGGTTTTAGAAATAAAGTGCAATGCTAAATTCTTACTTTCTTCCATGAAAATGTTCCTGTTAAAGTCAAACTACATGAACACACAGCAGTATGTCCAAAGTTATGTGCTGCCTACCATTGCAAGCCCTGGTATAGTCCATAATAGCTAAAATACCAGAGGGAAGAAAGTCAAATGGATTGTGATTATTGTCCTGGAACAGATTGAACAGCCTATAAAGGAGAATGTGAGCAGAATACAATTTCTAAACACACACAAACCTGTGCAGGTGCAGGTCCTTTGCTGAGAGGAAGGTGAAATTTGCAAAAGGGATATGAAGAGGATGTTTGAAGCTTGAACTTTATTTACGTTTCTCTTCATCACAGGTTGGGCTCTGAATGGAGCTTTCTAAATGGTCTCTGTACGATTTAGGCTCTGGTTTATAATTATTTGAATCTCATGTGTGAAAGTTCTTATTGTTGTCAAGGGACATATAAAGCAATTCAGAATTAATTTAATTCAAGTCACATCAGGTTTATTAGGGTGTAGCTGAGAGAAAGTAATGAAATCTCAATTATTATTCTAATTGGGACAAATGATGAAGGACGATTTGGACATTAAACACAAACACCTATTGAGATGTTTAATGTGTTGTTTGAGAGATGTCAATGAGAATGAAAAAAACAATATTTAAATTTTAATTCAGGCCTGCACAAATACTGCATCTGTTTCTGCTACACTGCTTCGTTAGCTGAAAAAAACAGATGCAAAAAGCAAAGTTTCATACTTTTTGAGATTGGAAGACGTGCTATATTAGGATGACAAAAATAAGCCCAAATGAGCGTTCTGCTCGTCTGCAATGTGAATTAGGAAAAGCAATCTGTGGAAGTTACAGCTTGCTGCCATTCAACAGGAAACCTACACTTCCCACAGAGCAGCTGGGATTATCCTCTGTGTCTCATGGTCATGCTTCAAATTTAAAGCATGCATTAGCTGTCAAGACATGTAACTGCAAAGTGTGTGTGTGTGTGTGTGTGTGTGTGTGTGTGTGTGTGTGTGTGTGTGTGTGTGTGTGTGTGTGTGTGTGTGTGTGTGTGTGTGTGTGTGTGTGTGTGTGTGTGTGTGTGTGTGTGTGTGTGTGTGTGTGCACTCCTGTAAGTAGCTAGTGATGCCGTTTATTTAATTTCATGTAATGAATCTGGACTTTAACACACTGCTGTTAGCTATTAAAACATTTTATTTTTCCAAACACAAACACTTCAACATTTCTTCCACCACGTTAAAGACAGTTTGCAAGTCCCAACAGGGCACCCTCAGACAGAGGAGAATTCTCAGCCAGGTGGTGAAGAGGCTCGTGTCCAGAACTCCTTCTTGCAGCTCTGCTATGGCTGAGAGAGACCATATGTCTGTTCTCCCTGGAGTCCGTCACAGTTCAGGACTGCCAAGCCGTCAGGCTCATCTTGCATGTGCATTACTGTTAAAGACTAAAATATCAAGTAGTTTTAAAGAAAAGCCTGTTTTCATGTTTTGTTGGGGGTTTTTTCAACAAAATTGTTTTCTTACATTGAATATTTTGTGGCCTTTTGTATGACATTTGGTCAACATTTGAATAAGAATCAAAATTTCAATCACGCACATTAACACAAATATGCTTTGTCTTAAAAGTTGGCTACAATAAACGTAAATTAAATTGACAATTTTTTCATAATTACAGTAAATTATTCTAAAATATGTATTTCCCTTTGACTGCAGATGTAGCAGTGCTATATTGGGTGGGTTCCTCACTCTCCAAACCCAACTGGAGTCAAGGCAGAGTGGGCAACTATGCCCATTTTTGCGCAGTCTACGGTTGCAACAACCGACGCACTATTGAAAAACTGATCTCATGGGATCACTAGTGGCTTTTCTAGCCTACCTGTTGGGATTTTTTTTGCCCAATTTTTTATTGTAATTATCACACCATACCATATGGCTAACTGTGAAGAAGTTTTTTGTTTTGATTTCAAATGATGGAAAAAATGGAAAGAAGCCTGAGTTTAAAAGAGTTTTTGTACAAACAACATTAAAGCAAATGTGTATTTCAGTAAATGGAGTAAAATTATGGAATAATCTGGATGATGACCTGAAAAAATGTTTAACTACCGATCAATTTAGGAGACTATATAAAGAAAAAAAAATCATAGAATCCTATGGTTGATAAGTAAATATTGAATAAGTATATTGATAAGTTTTATTGTGATATCATTTGCAAAGATAAGGAAGTTCTTGGTTTGTGTAGAAGGCCATTCTGTAAATTATATTGTATGAAGTAGAAAGGGGTAGGTCATATAAGACTTCTTCTTCCTCCCCCTTTTATTCACTTAGGAGACTGTTAATGATTGTATTTTGCATTGATGATGAATGAAACTGCTGACTGAGAAAAATAAATTAACAATTAACAATTAACGATAACTTTGGGAAAAAGCATAACAAAATGTGTGTGTGTGTGTTTTTTTTTTTTTTTTTTTAAGTTGGATAAGCACCTTCCTCAGTACAAATAAATCAATGAGTGTAGAAATGTGGGCTGGGGGCGAATGGTGACCCATCCAAGATGGCGGCCCACTGCTACGCCAGCCCACAGACGAGCCAGTCTGTCACTGCAAGCGTTTGTTGTTACTATGGAAATAGTTAAACCAATCAGAGATTTCTTACAAGGACGGAGCGGGTCCACCAGCCAATCAGATAGTCCGTTGTTTGGGAGGAAGTTGGTTTGAAATGGCAAATAAGCATTTTCAACTGTCGACTCGACGTGAAAGTACGAGTGTGTTTTCTTGTACATAAATCCAAAAAGTAAGGATTCTTGATAAACAAAGTTACATGAACGTGTGGGCCTTCTTGCTTCAAGTTGTTTTGTTACTCCGACTTCCGGTTTATAGCAGCTGAAAGCGTTTATAACTGCTAAGACATTAGCCGTGACCTTTTTTTAGCTAATATGTTTGTTTATTAGAAAACAGCTTAAATATCTGGAAGTAGTTAAAAGCTATTTGTGCTTTTCTTTCGGGTTCTTGTCTTTATTGGTCTTTTTATAATAAAGATTGCGTTTTTTTTACCATAAATATAAGATTGTGAGCTAAGCCAAGGGATTGTTTTGGTTGTATATAAAGCTTGTAACGATTTAGAGATTGTATGTTTTCTATAGGATCGTGAATGTATACTAACTAGTTCCCATAAATTTTGAGTAGAAACCTTAGCTCTGTGTTCATTTAACTTGTGTCAACGTCTTGGTAATGAATGTGAATGCAGTTATATGTCAATTCAATTTAGCTCAGCATGTCTACGTTGTGTTGAAACTACTTCAGTAAATCAGATGTATGTCACGTGAATGTTTTTAAGAGGCTGTCCTCCAGCTTTGGATGCTCATTTTGTTCTATTAAATTCCTTTTATCTATACTTAGATGTCTTCAGAAGAAGAGGATCCAACCAGTCCCGTTCTGCCCAAAGATTCAGACCGAGGCAGCTCTGTATCCTCTGATCTTCAGGTGAAGAAAAAAAAATGTGTACTGCCGTCATAGACGTACAGTTAGAATGCTGATCTGAGCCCCAGTAATGTAGGCTCGGTTGCTTATTAGATTGTGTTGTTATCAATATCACATCCCATGTGTCAAGCGATATAAGTTAAGATGTCACATTAATACATTTCTTTTTGAATTCATAATAAAATACTACTTATCAGAGGTAGTCTAAAGAGCCTTTAAATTAAACAGTATTGTTCAGGCTGGTGCTTATTAAAATACTCAGCTGCTTTACCTGCTCATAGTGATGGACTTAATGTTATGCTGTCTATAACAAAACATAGTTATTTTCATAATGTGTTGAAAATAGAGGCGATTGTAACATTTTTTGCTTGTTTGGATCTCCAGGACGAGTACGAGGAGCTCCTCCGCCATGCTGTTGTCACCCCTAAGCTTGAGACACTTGCTGGTGGTCAATCAAAGGGTCTGAAGTCACAGAGTAAATGTGATTCAAAGTCACAACACCAGCGAGGTGAATTGTGTTTTTCTCTGCATGCATAATACATCCATAAACACACGTATTCTGAAGCTTTTCTGACAGAAACTCAGCATTTGCTTCACCACTCAAATCTTTTTTCAAAGGATTTACCATCTCAACCAGTCTTTGTTCACAAGTTCAGTGTTTTCAGCTAATAAGATCATTTGTGCTGTAACAGACTGGATAAGAGACTTGTACTCCATCTCTTCGCCCTAACCCTAACCGCCTACCTTCTTTCCTAAACAGCCCATTTGTCGCTCCCCCCCCCCAGATCAGCTCCCATTGAAGGTTTAGCGTTTTAACTGTCATGTAGCCGTGCACGGGAAAGGTAGCGAGCAGAAAGGCTGATTGGTAATGATCTGTTGGAACTCTGCCCAGAGTGATCTTCAGAGTGCAGGTCCCCCACCCCCTACCCCTACAGAATTTAATTAAGATATTGACATGGATGCATTCTTGGACGAGATGCTACGCTCTCCTTATTCAGCATTCTCACCGACACAGGTTCTGGTCTTAAGGTTTCTGAAAACTGAAATCTTTCACCATTACATAATTTCACTTCTGAGTGTTTTAGCTAAACTGAATTCTTATTTCTTTTACTGCAACTCTTGTGTGTCCCGACGGGTTCTTCAGCTGCTGCCAAAGATGGATGGTTGTCCAGCAGGAGTGAGCGATCGTCACAGGCTTCACCTGTAATCGCCAAGTCCTTTACACCTCTAAAAACCTCACACGGTAAATCTAATAAAGAACAAAGGAAAATAACGTTATTATGTTTCTTTTGCTTATTGTCTTGTTTGGGACTGTTTTCTATCTTCTAGCTGACAGAACAGCAGGTCAGTCATCTAGCAGGCGGCCTGCGCTTTCAGAAAACGTCCCATCTGAGAGGTCCGGGTCAATCAGCCCAGAAGCCCTTCATGAGTTTGCTGCCACAGAGATATTCATTTCAGAGGAGAACATCAACAAAATGGAAAGTATTCTGGACACATGGAGTAGCAACCTGAAGGTTAGTTTGCGTTCTCGTACTAAAAAATGTTCCATCTTCAGTCTGTCCGGATGAACCTTAAAACATGTCTGACAAAGACGGAGATTAATTATTTGATCTTACAATTAATAACCAGTTAAAATATGATGATCAGGACTTCCTTCATCACCAGATCAAAGCTTATGAAGGAACGAAATATTAAGAACCTTTTTTTTAGAAGACTAAGAGTTCTACTCTTCTTGGATGCAGTGACCTTATAAATTAATATGTAGAATAATTCTGGAGAAGTTGGGTGGTCATTTTTGAGACCATCCAGTGTTTTTCTCCTGCTGTTGAACAGCTTATTGATGGAGAGCAGATGAAAACCAACCACCAGCTTATTGGCACCAACAAAAGTGCAGTTTAGGAACAGCCAGAGAGAAACTGTAGGGAATATAAGAACTAGGGCTGCACGATATTAGGAAAACCTGCGATATTCGATAACAGTAATTAATATTGCAATGACGATATTACTTGCTTTCCTCTTGCAAAGGCTTACGTCTCGGTCCGGCCGCTCCGGTCATCACAGGATCGTCGGCTAGCAGTGTCTCACCACACTCAGGACAATCCAGACTCTTCTCATGCATCGTTCCACAAATATGGAATGACCTACCAAGCACTACCAGAACAGCGGCTTCCTTTTCAATTTTCAAGAAACTCCTGAAGACCCTGCTCTTCAGAGAGCCTCTTCTAAACTAGCACCCTCCCTGCACCCGTCCCTTCTCTACCGTCCACTCCTTTGTTCCCTCCTCTCCCTGACTGATGTCAAGTTGTTGTTATTGTTGTTGTTAGCCTCAAGGGCAACATGCCGATTATCACTTGTAAGTTGCTTTGGACAAAAGCGTCTGCTAAATACATAAACATAAACATACTTGCGATAAATAAAAACTTAACCCAGGAACAAAAATAATCAAAAACAAAGAAATTAAAAAATCATAAAAATGAGAAAAGCAAAAGATGTGAGTAAAGGGAAAAAGAAAATGTACAAGAAAAGGCAATCAGTGAATCCGGGAAAAGCAGAATCAGCAAAAAGAGCAGAACAAAGCTAACTCGGGTGTTTTCTTATCAAAATTAAGTGCCATCCGCCTCAGGGGTGGGAATTCAACCTATCAGAACCCACCCAATTGGCCAAATTAGTAAAGAGCTCTATTTGATTTGTTTAATCAATTTCCCTCTGGGATTAATAAAGTATTTTTGAATTGAATTGAAAAAAAAAACATAATGCTTCCGTTTGATTGACAGAATGCATTATGTTTAGCAAACATTTGAGCTGACCATTCATTGCGATATTTATCTGTTCTTTGTGATATGCATATTGTGCATGCTGATATCGCGATAAATTGATGATATATTGTGCAGCCCTAATAAGAACTCTTTCTGACCTTGTGATTTTATTATGAAGTAGCTTTTTTTTGTGCAAATTTTGAAGCAGAAGTCAAATCTATCGTGTTTTCATCATATTAGTTTAATACTTTTAAAGATGAGGGCTTTGTTGCACATTGTGTAATTTCACAATAAAGGCATTTATTCACAACGTAAGGTAGCCTAGTGAACTAGACCGAATTTTTGCTTTGCAAAGTTTAAAAAAAATATGTTTATGTAGTCTGTCTTGCCAGGCTAACAGTAAGGTACTTTCAGCTATAATCCAAAGTTTAAGTCTTAAAAAAAATGGTGTTTTATGCTTGCAAAGAGAAGATATACAAAGCACTTTGTGATTGTCCCACCTTGTTTTCTCTATGTAGTCTAATGTGCTGACGGAGTTACGGAAGTGGAAGCTCACGTTCATGGAGCAACACAAGGTGGAGATGAAGAAGGAAAAGGAAAGGCACGCAACCCAGACAGCTGGTCTAAAGGCGGAGTTAGAGAGCCTGAAGGAGCTGCTACACACCTACGAGACATCCAACCAGAGAAAAGATCAGGTTTGTGCGCTCATCTGCTTCCTGAAGTACATTTTCTCACAGTTTGTAAGAAATAGAATAAATGAGACTAGTAACACGTTTTCTGGTATTAATTCATATGTCCTGCAGGTGATTACGAATCTGAGCCAGGTGTTGGACAGACAAAAAGAGAAGCTTGAGAAGATGAGATCCTTCATGCACTGGAGACTTCAGCATGCAGAGGCTAAAGAAGAAGTACGCATAATGATTCCCATGGGTTAAAAAATAACTTCTTTCATATTTGTAATGACTCTTAAATTAGAAATAGTTGTTAGGTGTCAGAAACATATATTTTTACTTACCTGGTTGCATATTTGATGGAGAGTTGACAGAAACTACTGCAGCTGTACAAGTAGAGTGTATATATCATATATACATATAATATGTGCGTGTGTGTGTGTGCGTGCATGTGTGTGCGTGTGTGTAATTACTACCTTTTTGTTACTCTCATGGTGTCGGGCTCCCTAACAGGCTCATGCTGCTCAGGTAGCACAGCAGCACTACAACATGCAGCTGAAGAAGAAGGTTTGGTTTGGCTGGCACGGTCTGATCCAGAAACACTGGAAGGTCATGGTGGAACGGGCTTGCCGTTCAAGAGCTGAAGAGGTCTGCACCAGGTTGTCCACAGATTACGAGGCCAGGCTGGCAGAGGTACACATGTTACAGAGGATCTTCAGATAAAACAGAGTGGTAAAGTGAGCCGGTAATGCCAAGTACATACTTTAATAGTGTTGATTTATACCTCGAGGTCCGTCTAAGATTCAAAGTTTATTATGAATCATTTGGTAGTGTTGCCAGTATAATACGTGTTCTCTTCATTCCTCTTGTCTGCAGCACTGCGAGGCTCTAGAAAAGGCTCAAACGGAGATTCGGAGACTACAAGTAGAACGAGAGCGTTCTGAGGAGTCCATGAAGAAAGCTTTCATGAGGGGGGTGTGTGCTCTCAACATGGAGACTCTCAGCATGTTCCAGTCTGCAGAGGGTCGGCCGGAGCAGCTGCCTCTTCATGAACAGCATGGTCTGTAGGGAAATGATGGAAACAACACTTTTCGTCAGTCTTCTTAACCAACTGCCGCATTAAATATGATGCGTTCAATAAATCTGAGCTCTGTTGACTCAGCACAGCTATTACTGAAGGGGGGGGGGTAGTGGTGTGCATCTCTACCTGCCTCACGATTCGATCCGATTCCGATTATCTGCCTAACGACTCGATTTGAGTCTGAAATGCATCACGATTCTTCACACAAAAATTTTCATTACTTAATAAAAGCAGTAGAATAGTTTTCAATTTCTTTTTGATTTCGAAATCCCTGAAAAACAGAACATTCATCTGTTCACTATATTGAGCAATAATGTTTAAAGTGTGCTGCTTATAATTACTTAAATAATATAAGAAATAATGTTTTCGGTAGAGCAGCTTTAAGATAAAATATTACTGAACTTAAAAATAGTAAACAAATACGGTGTTAAGTGATTCTTTCACATCCAGGATCCCAAAACCGAAATTAGCCCAGACATCCGATTAGACATAGGGAGAAAAGCTCATTATGTCACGTTGCTGCATCGATGCGGAATCATGCACGGCTGAATCTCGATGCATCTTAGAATCGTTCATTTTTCCCACCTCTAGGGAAGAGTCCAGCCATGTGCTTTTGACATTTATGCTGATTCATGATTAGATCAAAATCAGCATCGCTGTTCTTTTATTGAAATGTTTTTATACATCTTGATGGAGTGATAAAGTAGCTAGGTGCTCAATACAAGGTGCTGTTCACTAGTGAGCAACTTTAAAATGCCATTGAGGGACTGGCTTTACAAGCCCAGGACCTTTTTGGGAAGGTGGGAAGTTTCAGATTTATTTAGTATTGTGAAGATTGCTTTAAAACCTTGAGATCACCACACTCCTTGTGTTGCACAATTTTCACTACAAAGTCTCAGCGACATTAGCCAGGATACATATATAGATCCAAGTTAGAAGAAGAAGAAAATATCATTTCTATGGTGCCTCTCAAGATGAAAATCACGAGGCGCTTCACAAAAACAAAAAAAGTAAAAATATAAAAAAGAATTTAGAAAATGGTTAAAAATATATTTAAAATGAGCAAAAAAAAGACAATTGTGATTAAAAAAAATGTTAAGAAAGAGAGAGAGTGAATAGGAAAGAGGGAAGTCAGTGGATCCTGCGGAAGATGGAATAGGTGGGGAGAGCAGAATAAAGAGAGAGTGGTGAAGAAGATCATACAAAAGCCACTTTGAACAAGTGAGTCTTCCGCTGCTTTTTAAAGGAGTCCACTGATCTCAGGCTCAGGGGGAGAGAGTTCCAGAGTCTGGGGGCCACAGCAGCAAATGATCTGTCACCTTTGGTCTTTAGTCTGGTGCTGCACAACCAGTAGGCTTTGATCACTGGACCTCAGGGACCTGCTGGGGGTGTAGGGACTAAGAAGATCACCAATGTAAGATGGTGCTTGTCCATGTAAGGCCCTATAGACCAGAACCAGGATCTTGAAATGAACCCTGAAGTTGACTGGCATCCAGTGAAGCTGGAGGAGAAGCAGGGTGATGTGGGTGTGTTTGGAGGACTTGGTCAGAAGCCGAGCACAGGCATTCTGAACCACCTGTAGACGGTTCAGGGAGGTTCTGCTCAGACACGTGAAAAGAGAGTTACAGTAGTCTAAGCGTGAGGAGATGAAGGTGTGGAGAACTGTCTCAAGTTCAGAGCGGGACAGAATGGGACTCAGCTTAGCAATGTTCCTGAGATGGAAGAAGGAAGAGCGAACAAGAGAACTGACATGAGAATCCAGGGTGAGAGCTGGGTCAAAGGTCACGCCAAGATTCCTGACGGAAGGTTTGGTGTGAGAAGCAAGCTGACCAAGAGAGTCACTGACTTTGGGAACCAGCTTGTCTGGGGCACAGATGAGGATCTCAGTCTTATCTTCATTCAGCTGAAGAAAGCTCCCAGCCATCCATGTTTTGATAGAGTCTAAGCAGGTGTGTAACAGCTGCAGCTTAGACATCTCATGGGGCTTAAAGGAGATGTACAGTTGGATGTCATCTGCATAAAGATGGTTGGAGATTCCTTTGAAAGAGCTCAGGATGTGCTGAAGAGGAAGCAGATAGAGGAGGAAGAGCAGAGGAGGAAGAGCAGAGGCCCCAGCGCAGAACCTTGTGGGACACCATGGGTAAGGGAGGTGGTGGAGGACCTACGTAAACTTGGAGACGGCCACAGAAAAGAAGCGCTCAGAGAGATAAGAGGAGAACCACTCCAGAGCAGTTCCTGATAGGCCTACCCAGTCTCTCAGCCTCTCCAGTAGCAGGTGATGGTCAACAGTGTCAAAGGCTGCAGTCAGGTCCAGCAGGACCAGAACAGAACAGTCCCCTGCATCACTGTGAGTCAGAAGGTCATTAGAGACCCTAAGAAGAGCTATTTCAGTAGAATGAGCTCTACGAAAACCTGACTGGAGGCTATCATAGATGTTGTGTTCATCAAGAGCAGCTGTGAGTTGTTTAGCCACAACCTTTTCCAAGATCTTGGAGATGAACGGAAGTTTAGAGATGAGTCTGAAGCTGCTATGGAGAGAGGGGTCAAGACTCGGTTTTTTAAGAAGTGGGTGGATTGCAGCGTTCTTAAAGTAAGCAGGGTCCTGACAAGAGACCAGAGAAGCATTAATTATAGAGAGCACGCTGGGACCGATGGACTGAAAAGCACTTTTAAACAAAGATGAGGGTAAGATGTCGAGGGGGCATGCAGAGGTCTTCATAGAGTTAACTAGTTTGGTTAACTCAGGCAAAGAAACAGGAGCAAAGCTATCTAGGATGATGGGCCTGGTTGGAGTCGGGAGAGGCGGCGATAAGGCTGAAGGAGAGATGCTAGATCTAACCTTATTGACTTTGTCCACAAAGAAAAACAGAAAGTTCTCACAGTCTGTAACAGAGTGGATGGAGGCTGTAGGAGAGGCAGGAGAGACAATGTTGCTGATGGTGTTATTCCAAACTCACCTGCTGTCTCGTTGGAACAAAAGTCGGGATTTTCCATATTAAGCAACAGTTCAACTCAAGCCCATGGCTGCTGAAACTGGATCTCATTATTGTTTAGCTTGTTCTTGCATGGTTCCAGCCATCTGCTCCCAAAATTGTGTTGTACGTATCTGTCTGTCAGACTGGACTGCTAATTTAATACTCTTTCCTGTTTAACTTTATAATGACTTTCTTTAATGAGGCCCTTGTGCATACATGACAGAGGATGAACATATCCACATTTAACAATCTGGTTCCTGATCAAAGAGTAAATCTCCCTTGTTTTAATCATATATTCATTTATTTTGTAGATGCTGAGGATGAGCCTCGATCAGCTTCGCTGGCTCACCTCCAGCCGTATCCCTCCACCTCAACTAGGTTTAGTCCAATCCACTTTGATCAACCCGAACCTTCCTACAGGGAACATGAATATATTGTGAGTAACTGATATTTTGCACTTCTTACTGGGATTTCTATTTTTAATGTAATTACACAATTGACTGAGCTTTTTCCTGTTTTCTTTAGGTGGGTTCTAGAGCCCCCACATCCCAGGAAGAGGTACTTCCTCCCACTACAGTGGTCCACAGCTCTCTCCCTCTTGGAGGCATTGCAGGTTCCCACAAACAGGTTGGCATCTCATAACTGTTGTGTTATGGAAAGCACACCATACTTTGACAAAGTGCATCTCATGAATTCATTAAGAACCTATAAGTACCTCATAAGGAAAGTTTAATTTTCAAGCACTTTCACAAACAAAAAGAAACCAAAAAAGTTCCAATCGATAAAAAAACCTCTAGAAAAGTGAAAAACGTTTGATCTGTTTCCTAACAGCTTCTAGAGTCAACTAAACCACGTTGTCATGGCAAACTGGATTTATGCCACAAATAGACAATACAGGGAGCTGCTAACCTACCAAGTTTCAGCTCAATATGTGTGAAATTGCTGGAATCCTAACCGTTTTTGTGTTTGCTAATATTGGTTAGCTGTGGCGGTCATCTTAAAGAGCAAGTCACCCCCCAAATAAACATTTTTTTTGCTGATAAACTAAATAAATGAGTGTCTTAATCGTGCTGCAGACACGTGTCGTCAATAATTTGGCACTTCAGTGCATCTTAGTTAAAATTTAAATATTCTGCCTAAAACTGGCAGTGTTGTGCCGTTGTCAGGTAAAAACTCTGCACTGTATTTTAATTTAAATCTGCCACTGCTATTGGCTAAGAAGTATGCTATGATGTAAACTGGTACATTATGATGTCACAATGCTGTCGTGAGCCTGAGTGTGTGTGTATTTGTTAGCGGCTCCGCCCTCTCGGTCTGCCAGGCAACAGCATGTGTTGCATTTTTCAAACATGAAGTGGGAGTGGAATTAGACTCTGGTAGGGGTTGACTTGCTCTTTAAGTTACATCGATTCCAATAAGCTGTAGATGAACGTCCAGGGATAACTTTTTGGGAGTGTCATTACAATCCATCCAGTGGTTGATGGGATGTTTAGCAGAAATGTTCATCTTTAGGCAACAGTGAGTGAATTTTTTTAGGCCAGGCTTGTCTGCTTTTGCTCCTCATATATATTTATATTTTTTCCCTTTGATAAGTAAATAAAGTGGGCCTTTACCCTGTTTCAGGTCAGTAGTCGCGTCGTGACAGCAGGTCAACAAAAACCTTCAAAGACTGTGACCGCCCGCATCACTGCACGGGCCGATCTCGGTAAATCCGCCCGCTCCAACCTCCAGGTGATGGGTGTGGCTCCACCCATAAGCTCTGTAGTCGTTGAACGCCACCATCCTGTTACGCAGGTGAGGGAGCAGCTTCACTATTACCATCTATTTGTTTTCAAATCTACAGTTTTGAACTAACTTTTCTCCATTCAGCTGACCGTGGGACAGGCCACAGCTGCCAAGTTTCCTCGATCGTCCAAGCAGAGCCACACCTCTGCGGCAGCCAGAGGCTCCTCCAGAACCCACACCAACACGTGTCATGTACACTCCATCAAAGTAGTTGACTGATCACATATTTGCAATGTCTAAATTCAGAATTTACTGTATTAAATGTGAAATTATCCGGATTTGTTGTTTTATCAAAGCAATAACCGAACTGAATCTTGTCCTCTAAATAACAAATCCATTAAATTAGGCTTCTTTTTTTTCTAAAGCTGTGGGTGTTTCTCAGGAAAGTAGAACATGCTTTATTATTATTACTGATTTAAATGTTTGGAATAGCAAAAATGAGGGTTTTAAATTAAGCATGATCAAAAGTGTGCTGTAAAATCAAATATTTTATTTACTAAACCAAACTCTTGTTTTTAATAAATTTATTTTACTGCAGATTTACTCTATGAATGATGATTGTGTAGGTAGAGTTTTTACATCGCAGTTCTTCCTCATGAAACTCTGCAGCTTTTGCTGCTGATGTTCTCGTCCTCCGTTCGTATTTTGTCTGTGAAGAGAAAAAACACACACCAAATGTTTTATGTTTGTTAATTTTGTTTTTTCGTGTGAGAAATGAAATGACCTGCTGCCCTCCCGTTCCCGGTGTGGACGAGGGCCTGGTAGAGTTCTTTAGCTGGACTCCTCTGAGTCAGCTCCTCCCCGTGCAGCCAGATGAGCAGCATCCTGTTGCCGTGTTCTTTATAGCTGCGCTGACCTGTAGACGCATGTATAATTACTTTAAAACATCCATCTCATAGACAAGTTTCCAGGATGCAACATTAAAAATTATTCAGATTGTCTCATTTTACCTGTCCACTGCTCCGAAATAGCAGAAACCTGCTCCTTAGTGAAGCCCCAGTGCTCTGCCAGTCGTTTCCAGTCTCCTGCTTTCAGAAGCTCGTACGCCAGGCGCCAGGCAATCGACCGGAGCTGCTTGGTCTCATGGCGGTGGTCAAGTTTAAACGTTAGCGGATATTCGCTGTGAACACTTTCATTAAGCTCCGGGTTGGCCTGAAAGGGCAATTAAATCATGTCAGAAGAATGATAAAGGCCACCAGCCCCAGAGACACAGCAGAACTATCAGCAGCACATGATTAATAATAAGGATGCCAGAGCTAAGCATTTTTATGATCAATACTCTCAGGGAATCGTGCATATCTTTAATTACATTGGTGGTAAATTGTCTGTCAAATATTTCTGGGTTTCAAGTCTTCTTAAAGGGGATTGATTAATGTTATTAGAAGGGAATTTGCTAATCATGACTGTGGTGTTGGGAAATAATTTTTTTTACGGTGACTGAATTGTTACAAGCTCAGGTCACGATGGTGTTCGAGTGTCCTCACTCACCTGTCTCCACACGTAGTATCGCTCTGCTTTGATGATCATGTCCACAATAATCACCTCGTTTGCTCTGGCTGCCACACCCAGAGCCGTCTTGCCCTGCTGCTCCAAATCCAGCATACAAAATCAGATTAACAAAGTGAATTACACGGCTATGATACAATTTCTGCTTCGTGATTAGATTCTCTTATATATTAATGCATTTTGCTGATGTTATGGCAGAAATTAATCACATCTCTGTGGTTGCCGCATTTTGGATTGCTTACAGTTAATTTATATGAGAACAACGTTAAAAACAATAAGAATACTCAACTCTGTCGCACAGTGTTAGATTCATGTCGGCTTTAAGGAGCATTTCCACAACTTCAGTCCTGCCGGACTCTGCAGCAAGGTGCAAAGCAGTCTGGGACGTCTAACAGTGCACAATACAAGAGAGCCTGTTTATCATTAATATGTTGGCTGATTTTACCACGTGAGGTTTGACTGTACCTTGTCTGTGATGTTAATGTTGCAGCCGGCTGCTAAAAGAGAATGAATTACGGGAAGGTGACTGTTCTTCACTGCCAGGTGGAGAGGTGCATTCAGGTGCTGAAAACAAACATTTTCTGTCACATTACATGTCACATTTTCCATGTCTCTGCTTCAGCACACCTGATTTGCATATTTGCATTGTCTCCTCAGGAGGACATTGAGTGCTGCAGATGCCTGTTAATCACTTATTTATTTAAGTCAGGTGTGCAGCAGCAGGGAAACACCGGTGTTTGAAAAGGCAACATGGCGAACATGCAGAGCAGGGTGTCCTGAGGACCGGAATTCAGAAACACTGCATGACATCATCCTTGGACTAAAAGCGTTCATGTTAAAACGTGCTCTGATATAGCATTCACACTCTTGGATATTTCTTCAGCTTTTACATTTCTGCAGGCCTTTGTGTTCATTCTGATCAGCAGAGATTTTCTACTTAGAACTCTCCCATGGAGGTACATTTTTCAGCCTATCAACATGGCTGACCTTAACCCCCTCAACCCACACACACAAGCTGCTATAAGCTGAGAAGCTCTGATATCTAAGAAGGAGCTCAGAGTTGAGCTGCTGCTTCTCTATTATCAGTCACTGTCCTCCAGGTGATAGTTTTATGCTAATTTTCTCGTTTGTGACATCACAAATAGGAAATATTTTTAATGGCTTGCTTTAGGCACACAATTCCTATAACAAAACACTGACAGAAAACAGATGGATTTAATTTTTTTCGGGTTTGGAGTGTTCATAGAGGCAAGAGAAACCCATATTGCAGAACAAAAGGTTGCAGAAGGTGAGATTTTTTATAACGTGGACCCTTTAATTCCTGGCCTGGCTGTGGCTACCGAAACTGAACTCTGCTTTTTAAATGTGACTAATCTTATTTGATTCCTGATTTAAAAGGTGGGGCACTTTCTTTTTCACATAGAGCTAGGCTGTTTTTGGATAGGTTTGTTCCATGAATAAGTTCACTTTAAAGCTGCATTTTGAGTTATTTCTGTCTGATGTTGAAATTTGTTGATCCTAAACATCTAAATGTGACCAAAAAAGATGCAAAAACAGAAAAATGTTTGTAAGGGGGCAAATACCTTTTCCATAGACCTGTATGAGAGATCTGTGGTAAAAAGGGAAATGGACACCAGGCTGGTTTCTGTTTGCTCACCTGATTTTTAAAATCTGTGTGGGCGTGGTACTCTAGGAGGAGCTGAACTAGAGAAGTGTCGCCTCTTTCAGAGACGGGATGAAGAGCGCTGCATTTGGCCTGCAAAAAACAAGAGTCCAGCTTGAGTTTTATTTATCACTTGCGTTTTGTAATGTATGCATTAACTACAAATGTGGCCAGCAGGGCAGGGATGTGTGTGGTTCATCTGTACCACTGTGAGGATGTTGGGGTCACAGCCAGCCTCCAGCAGGGCCAGGACACATTCTTCTTGACCTTTGTTTGCAGCCTGGTACAAAGCTGTCTCACCGTCCTACAATACAGAAATCAGTCAGATCACAGGTTGGGTTTTTAAAGCATCCAGAACATGTTTGCTACATTCTAATTAATCCCAACCCACATCCAGGAGGAATTATCTACGGAGCACAAACCAAACAGCGACGGAGAGGATGTTTACACTGATTGTCTACCGTATTGACTTCATCCCGAGTATCAAAGCTCTGCAGCAGCAGTTGTACAGCATCCAAGTGGCCGTTCCTGGCAGCTAAGTGCAGAGGCGTGTCCCCTCTCTGGCAGAAGGGAGGGAGGGAAACCACACACATCAAAGAGTGTTTGACTTTGAGCTTTCTTGCAGCCGTGATCCAGAAAAATACACTCAGGTGCGTGAGACTCAACAGTTTTATTTCTACTGTAAAGGATTTAACCAAAATCACGCTCAGACCTTGTTGGGCTTCATAGTGGCCATGTTGTGGGGCTCCATCAGTGTGTTTAACATTTGAACACACCCATGCTCTGCTGCCAGCGCAAAGGGACGGCATTCTGACTGAAATGAGATTTAAGGTTCAGACACTTGCTACGCTTTTTAGTCTTCTCGCAGTTTATTCAAGAAGTGGTACCAAACACACACCTGATCATCTCTGTCTAATTCTCTCATCTGCAGATCGTTAATAATGTACTCTACAATTTCAGAGTGGTCGTTGATGGCAGCGCAGTGCAAAATGTTTAGTCCTTCCTGAAACAGAAAGATTATTACAATTCTTTCAAATTAGCTACATTCCCCAACATGATCTCTAAACAGTTTGGGTAAATGAATAACTTTTATTAGAAATGTGTTTTTGTTCATTAGAATTTTGATTTTACTTCATTTTCAATCTTCTGTTCAGCTCCAACCTGCACCAACAACTTCATGATGTCCAAACTGCCAAACCAGGCAGCTAGATGAAGGGGGGCCACGCCGTACTGTCAGGAAAATAAAATACACCATATAATTTACCACTGAAGTTGGTGTTCATGCCTTCAGCTTTTTGAATCATCTTCACCTTGTCTTTCTGATCCACCTTGACCCGGCGCTGCAGAAGAAGCTGAACAGCTTCTTTGTTTTTGCCAGCCACTGCAAAGTGGAGGGCTGTCCTGTTGTGCTGTGGAGTTACATTTAAAAATAGCATAAATCTTTTTACTGCTTTCTATCAAGATGCTGTTTTTCAGTGGTACTGTGTGAGTTAGGGAAATGAACTTGGTATTTGCCCCACCACATTCCTTGCATTGATGTTAAGACCCTTTCCAAGACGCTTCATGGTCTCCACGTCATTCCTCTTGGCTGCCTCGATAAACTCCTTCTCCGTTTCGAGTACTGTGTGACACAGTGAATGACTTTTGCATGGATGTTTAGATTATTTTATGTAAAAAAATAAACTTTCACAAGGTCAAATACAAAATTAATGTCAGGACTTCCTGTAAAAATGACGTGCAAATAAAACAGTCACGGTACGAGGACCAGTACACCCTCTCTCAAACCAAGAGTTACTAAGAATTCAACAGGTTGATGGTCTGGAGCGTACAGGTGTGTGTTAACAGAAGGAAGACAGCAATGACTCTAGCAAACTATAGGATCGTTTATGAGGCTGTTCAATAAAATTTATTCTTCCACGTAAAGAAAGATTATTTAAGTTTTTATAAAAATTCTCGACAGCTTCCATCTGGTGTGTATCCAAAAATACATATAAATTACATTAAAAAAACACACCCGTCAGACTCGTTGGTCATTCTAAACAGATAAGCAGTAAAATGAAGTTGAAGATGTTTGTGAATGTGAGACTTAAACGTCTCATGTGTGAAGCGCTGTAGAGGGCTGATGGGGTTTGGGATTGTTCAGATGGTAAATGGCCTGTATTACATACTAGTGTCCTGGAAACCCCCCGAAGGCACTTTACAGCACAATCAGTCATTCACCCACGCACACACACTCACACCCTGGTGCAATGTGTCTTGCCCAAAGACACTATTAGTAACAGACTGAGTGGGACTCGAATCTGCAACCTTCTGAACACTGGGTAGACACTTGACTCCTCTGCCACCGTCGCTACAGGACCATAAATCAAAGGCTTTTACAGTCAAACATCTGTCAAACAGCTGAAACTTTGACAAAACTCATGCAGCAGGACAAAAATACTCAAACACACAACAGAGGGGTAGTTAGGAGCAGACCAGAGCGGGGCATTAAAGCAACCCTCAGTGTTGTAAAGACAGGAAGGTCAAAAATCATACAGAATGTTCTCAAGGGGGCTCTGATGAATAAGCGGTTTGCTGTCTCACATTCTGACTTTTGATTTTCACTCAAATCTGAGTTTTTATTCATTTAATTCTAAAACAAAAGTTATTCTAGGATTTTTTGTTCATCCTGCTGTCAAACCATAGAATTAGAAGAGGGAGTACTAACCTAAACCACAACTTCATTTGTAATAGAAACATGTCCCAAAGAAAGGAAGTACCATGCATGAGGTCACTCCATGTAACTCTAAGTTATATTTAAATTATTCAATACATTTGTTGTGTATTAATTAGTATTTTTGTTTCATACTCACACATCTCTTTGCTGTCGAAGCTGTCGTCGGTCTCTTTGTCTGTTTGCTTCTTATGAATAAAGTCAGCAAACCCTCTGATAGTTTCTGTTTGTACCCATCTTTGAGGATCCAGAGTGTTCTTCTTCTCCTTGATCAAAGTCTTCAAAGCTACAACTCTTTTTTCCATAAGGAAGATGTTAACTTCTCTTTAAAAATCCTATTTCTGCTGTTTCACAGCTTCTGTTGAGAACCTTCGAACATATAAATGAAGCGACGGGCTAGCTTCTGAAGGCTGAATGTTTACTTTACCAACTCACACCCATAAAAGAGTGTATATGGAAAGAAGGAGGGATAGCTCCGGTTTATATTGTTGACTTTTTTGATGGAGGTGGAAGATTTAGGAAGATTAGCGCAGCGCTCTAGTAGAAGTTTAACTTGTCGGCTGACTGGGGTTTTATTTTCTTTCTTTCAATCTGAAACCACCAATTCACAAACAAAGAACATATTCTCCAAAAGAGAGAATTCAAACATTTATTACAATTCAATTAAATTCAACTTTATTATCAGACTCAAGGTCCACATTAACTATAAGAGACATAAAAATGATACAAAAGATTATAAACAGGGTATCTGCAGGTTTAAGGGAGCCAAATTTAAGACTTTTTAAGACCTTTTTAAGGCCACTTTGACCAAATTTAAGCTATTTTTATAATAAAATTTAAGCTATAATTTCCATATTGCCTGGAACCGGTGCTAACCGCGTCGTGAACATGGGATTAGCCATCTAGTTACCATTAATGTTGCACTTCCCATGGCGCAAACTCCCACTAGCATGCTCATCTAAAAATAGCCCCTTTCACAACCAACCAAATGTGTACGGTTCCGCGTACGCCAACATCATACACAAAAAATGCTGAACTAACTAGAAATTCACGAAAATTTTATAGAAATAAGAGAATCTTGTTTACTGGGTCTTTGGTAATTTAAGAACTTTGGAAACTATTTAAGGATTATTTGTCATTTTTAAGGATTTTTAAGGCCTTAAATTTGTAAAAGCAAATTTAAGACTTTTTAAAACTTTTTAAGGACCAGCAGATACCCTGTATAAAAGACATGCATACCAGCGTCTCCACATGGATGACTGGTAACGCACTGCACTAAAATGGGGATCAACCAGCATCTGCACAAGTCTGTTCTTAAGAGTTCTTCAATCGCAAGATAAACCTGTAGAGCCAATTCCTCATTATGGCTTGGAAGGTCCTGACATGAGCATTACAAAATAAAAGACTTGCACTACAGGACCGAGGCTTCCCTAGCAGAGTCCTAAATGCATCGTTGTAGGCTACTTTAAGCTTATGCAAGCTGGCTTTCCTATACTTACACCACAAAGGTGTGCAGTAGGTTCTAAAAAGGTGGATTTTTATCTTATCAAAACACACGTGGAATTTCCTTACCAAAATATTGACTTGGGCAGTCTTCATTATTAAAAATATCAATATAGATTTAAAAAATAACATGAAATTATTTAAAAACAATTATAAACTGTAAAATCACAAGCAAGTTTTACTTATCCTTGTGTTTAGTTAAGCACACATAAATAAAATGGCATTAGCCTCATTTAGCCACAAAATCTGGAATTTAAAAAAAAATATTTTCCAAGAATTAAAATAAACAAGTTGCCATCTTGGTTTGTGCAAGTGCTCCACTTCCAATAAATAACAGCCTTCATCCAGATGTGGACTGATGTTCGTGGGTCACCGTCACCTGAAGAACTTATCGATGGTGTTGCAGACTCCGAGGCTTTTGGGTTTTTTAGACGGGGGAAAGGAAGGCGTGTCAGTTCTGAGAAATACACACCAATGAAACATTATTAGTAAAAATTTTATTTATTACTACAGAAAAATATGAAAATGTAGAAACGCCTTGTTTTTAAAGCAATAATCGACCCGTCTCACCTTTTGTTTTTACTTTTACTGGCGTGTCTTTGCAGATGGAGTCCACTGTCTAAAAACAAAAAGAAAAAATAAACTCCTTTCTCCATCCCCAAAAAAGAATTAGACATTTCCCGAGGAGGAACACAGATGTTTCTGATCTTTCAGCAACATAAAGACAGCAATTCCAAAAGTGAGTTGGTTTAAGAGAAAACCAGGCTTTGGGTGATTGTAGGAAAGCAAATAGGTGAGAAAGTGATTTAGCCATTTCCCAAACCGGGTCAGAGGGGGTGAAATGAGATGTCTGCTTGCTGTCTGAATCAATACAAACTCCTCATACAATGTCACAGTCAGTAAACAACGGGGTCATAGGTCACCGACAACCCTCGAAATAGATAATACGTCAATTCATTCCGAAGAAATCAAACACCTACAGTTTATGGACAATTTTTAACGATGCTGTGCAGAAAAAAAGACATACCTGCTCTTTTTTTGTGTTTTCTTAAACATAAACAAGTCCAATAACACTGGTTCTGGTGGAGAATAAACACACGCTTACCTTTGCTATTTTTACCCACAGAGGGTTTTATGGATAATGTCGTCTGACCTCTGAGCTCATGCAGGACCTCTTGGTTCAGGCAGAGGTCAACGTGCCGGTTGAAGATGGTGAGGTCATCCGTTTCTTGGGTCAAGTAGCACACGGGGCAGATAAGAACCGGACCTGACTGATGCCCCTGCAAGGTGACGGGTTTCTGCTCGTGTTCACTCAGCAAAACCTTTGGAACAGAATTGTTCTTGGGGCTGTCTTCCTGAGGAACGCTTCTGCTCAACTCCTCGCCGTTTACTGGCAGCTCTTCGACCTCTCTGCTCTGTTTGTGCACCGCCTTGCTTTTTTGATGTTCAGTCTCCAGGTCGAACTCTGCGCCTGAAACTCTCTTGGGCTTTCCTGCAGCCTCGCTGAGACAGCTGTCTATGTGTCTGTTGAAGACATTCAGATCAGCGGTCCGGACTTGTTTGAAACACACCGGACACGTGAGAGCTTCTGTTTGTGTCCTGCAGCTTGATGTCGATGCTTGAGGCTGCACGGGCGAGGCAGATTTGTTTTCAGAGAAATCCAAATCTGCGCAGTCATCTCCACGCGGTTGGGTCGATGGTTCTACATCCTCCTTAGACAAGGCTAAGTTAACCATTGATGATTCGTCCCTACATCCTTCATCTTGTCTGCTTGAATTTGCCGCCATGAGCTGCAGTCTTTTGGCATGAGCTCTTTGGAAGAACGACTGCTGAGGCTCCTCTTCAGTTGGTCTTCTCCCTAAGCTGATTTCCTTTGGTTTCTGGCTATTCTGCACTTCTAGATGGCCCAAAGGCTGGGAAGCCTGGACAGGTGGGTTGGAGAGTGGATTCTTTTGAAGGTTTTGATGTATTTTTTGGGAAGATCGACCACAATCCACCTTTCCTGGTTGAAGAAAGCCAAGGATGCTTTTCTGCATGGGCGTCTTATCGTCCACGGAGATGAAGGCAGAGATTCGAACACCTGTGTGCGCAAAAACAAAGAATCCACTCAAAACATCAAACGATGGTACACAAAGCATTACAAATAGATTTGTTTTAAATAAAAAGTCCATTACCCATGAGCCTCAGTCGGAGTGGCTGGGGGCTTTCGTTTTCTATTTCCATTTTCAGTAAGTCCTTAGCAACAGCAAAGACGTCCTCGGCTGTAGCAACAGGGTAGGGGAGGGTCTGCGCCCTGGTTTTTACTTCAAAATTGACATTCTTAAGCTTGAGCGTGACTGTTTTACCCTAAAAAATACAAAACAGTTAAAGCCATTCCTGTCTGCTTTCCACCTTATTACCAACACAATCAATAGCTTGGTTCAAAAGGGCCGAGATAGGAGAGAGAGGGAAATCTGTGTGATCTCCCCCATCAGTGATGGATCTTTCAAATGCTTTTTGTGAGTTCTCATAGTGATGTGATCATCTCCCAGGGGTGAAACCTCCAGGGCTGATAGTGCCCCCCCCTGCTGTCACTTTAATGGCCCTCCATTTTCTCGTGCCATCAGGGGACTCTGGCAGGGGGGCGATAGTTGTGCCAAGCTATCTGGTCCTTCTCTATTCTATCGATTCAGACACAAATGGACAGGTTAAGGTAATTGTATGAGCTTCAGTCTGAGTGGAGGTGATGCTTGGAAGTCCAGGAATAGTCAGGATGGCTGCTTTAACCTCTTTCTGTGTGCAGTAAAACTTTTGTTTTTGTTCAAATGTTTACAGAGCTTGCTTTTTTAATTCATGCCAACAAAATCACATTATTTTTGGACTTATTGGATTTCAGAATAGAGACTTTAGGCTTGCTAAATAGAATAAAATAAAAGTGCTTCTATTGTGTACCTTTAGACCTTCCTTTTTCAGGTCTTCAGCCAGATCTTCACAGAGCTTCCTGCATAGCGAGAACTGCTCCTCGGGTTTACTCAGTTCTTTAAACGTCCTATCAACATGAACCACAAATCAGAGGCTACACACAACAGGTACGTGATATATTTAGGGCTAATGATGGTTTGTCAGAAAAACGTGCCTCTCTGTGCTCATGCTTTTCCTTTCTTCATGCCTGAATGGAAGCAAAAGATAGAACTGATCGTCTCGTTTGCTTCTTGAATTTATTTTCTCTGCTGGATTTCACTAAACACATTTAATACCTTGGTATATGCGTGGATCCCAGACCCAGAGAAATCTGCATGAAATAATGCCAAGACGTCTCTGAGAACAGCAACGACAGCAGCGCCATCTGCTGTTGGAGGTGTGAGCAGGTGGTGATACCCAGAGCCTTCAGCATTTTTTCATTCACCTTCCCAATCCCACAAATCTGAAATAAAACCCAAAAAAAAGCAGATTATACTTCACGTCTTTAATTTCAGCCATCTGTCCCACATTTTTACTCTTCAACTGACATTTTTGAATGTCTTCAAAAAGCAAAAGTGATCACAAAGTCTAAATTGCTTTTTTCAATTTAGATGTCAACACTTTTCCACTGATAGCTATTATATCTGACACAGGCTTTGGGTAGAAAAACAGCATTGTGGCCTTCTGTCATTACGTTGTGATGAACAAATTTGGCTGGGAAGGCTAATTTGAGCTAGACTTAAAGGTTGAATATGGAACAATTTAATAAAACGCAATATTTTTAATGAATAATTTCTCCACAGGGCGTTTAGAGGTGCGCAGAATGAAGGTACATCATTTCCTTCAAAAGCTATATTTTAATTAAAAAGTAATCAAATATTTATTTTGACGGGCACATCACTGGGTTTATGTTTACATCTACCAGTCAATAGAGGGCACCGTTGCAAGTTGTCAAATACAGTAAACAGTCTGTTCAGCACAGCAAGACTGGCCCTGTGGAAAATGGCGGACTCGGAAAGTCAAGCAGCTGCTTCTGAGCCCAGGAGATGTTTTAACGTTAAATCCTGTTTAGGGCTGCACGATATTAGAAGAACCTGCGATATGCAGTGATCAATACTGCAATGACGATATTACTTGCGATAAATTAAAACTGAAGTCGGGAACAAAAATAATCAAAAACAAAGAAGTTAAAAAAAAGAAAAATATCATAAAAATGAGAAAATGTGAGGAAAGGGAAAATGAACAAGAAAAGGCAATCAGTGGATCCCGGGAAAAGCAGAATCAGCAGAAAGAGCAGAACAAAGCTAACTCAGGTGTTTGCTAACCATCGGAGGCGGGCATCTAACCTACGATAACCCACCCAATTAGCCAAATGGGTGAAGAGCTCTATTTGATTTGTTAAAGAGCAAGTCACCCCCTACCAGATTCTAACTCCACTCCCACTTCATGTTTAAAAAATGCAACAAATGCTGTTGCCTGGCAGACCGAGGGGGCGGAGCCGCTAACAAATACACACACAGGCTCACGACAGTATTGTGACATCATAATGTACCAGTTTACATCATAGCATACCTCTTAGCCAATAGCGGTGGCAGATTTAAATTAAAATACAGTGCAGAGTTTTTACCTGACAACGGCACAACACTGCCAGTTTTAGGCAGAATATTTAAATTTTAACTAAGATGCACTGAAGTACCAAATTATTGACGACACGTGTCTGCAGCACGATTAGACACTCGTTTATTTAGTTTATCAGCAAAAAAAAAGTTTATGTGGGGGTGACTTGCTCTTTAAAAAACGTCATGCTTCTGTTTGATTGACAGAATGCATTATGCATTATGAGTAGCAAACATTTGAGCTGACCATTCATAGAGATATTTGCCTGTTCTTTGCGAAATGCATATTGCGCATGCTGATATCGCGATAGGTGTTATTTGCGATATATTGTGCAGCCCTAATCCTGTTGTAAAATAAACCTATTAGTAGAAATTAGCCCTTAGCATGTAGGATTCGTCACAGGACATGGTGCTGGCTGGTCACTTCACGTATCGGCAGCGAACCTGGCCTCCCGACGGCTAGAAACTTTGTTCTATTGTTGCAACTACAACCTCCACACACTAGATGTCACTTTGGTGTTTGTGTTCCATATTCAACTTTTAATGATTTGCAGTTTAAAGTTAACGCCCACACTGGCACAAAGAATGTTTTTCAGATTATAATTTGGGTGATTTCTGTCGTACTTTGCGAACAGGAAGATCCTGGATGAAGTCCATGACCGCTCCTCTGGTGGAGAGAAGCCTGAACTGTCCGTTGGGCTTATTCTTGTCACTGCACACCTTAGCTAGCATCGTGTTTGGAGCAATTCCTAAACAAACTGAAGCATTAGTAAAGCCTAGAGTGGAGGATAACAATGATTATGCACAACTGCCTTACATAAAGACTGATTACTCTGCAAAAGCTAAATCATTAAAAGGAAGTTGCTTGAAAATGAAACACTAATAGAACTAATGGAAAAAAGTGGGAAAAGTCTTAAAAAAAAAGGATTTCCTCTCACCTGCGCTAGCTGTCAGCGTGGTCTTCTGCTCAATGCGGAACCGCATCTCTCTCACAGCCTCCTCCACAGATGTCCCAAACACCTCAAAAGCACCACCGGTACTTCCACCAGAACCAGGTAGGGACGGAGAGGAGGTTGGACTGTCCTCAAACAGGACGGGGGAGAGGTCTGTTACCTCCACTTCCTGATGAAGCCGAGTCTGCTTTTCATCTGGTCGAAAGAAAGTTCAAGCAACAATCAGATTGATCTCAATTCATAAAATAAAATCAGTGCAGCTCAAACAATGTGTCTTTACCTGTGGCTAAGCTCTTGGAGCGATAGCGATGCGTACGCGAGGACTCTGGCCAACTTTGTCTCTGCTCCAGGTGGGCTGTAAAATCCAAGTAGGCTTCATCCAGGCTCACTGGCTGGAAGTGAGGATCATAGTCGGAAAAGATCTCCCGGATCTGACAAATTAAATTCATGAGAACCTTGTTTTAGGATGTCAAAGAAATGCATGTCCTTATTCAGCGCCTTGGCGGGGTTTCCTCTTACCTCATCACTCACAGCTCGGTATTTATTGAAGTTCGGGGGAACAATCACCAAGTCGGGGCAGAGTTTTTTCGCAATGAAACCAGGCATGGCGGCTCGAACGCCATACTTCCTGGCATGGTAATTAGATGTAGACTAAAAGGAAGAAAAAGGCAAAATATTTACTTTGAAATCCATGTAAAGAATTTAAATGACCACGAAACAGATAAATGATGGGAATTAAAAATCAACATGTTTTAGAACATATTTTCACTGTTAAACTCTGTAAATATAAAGACTTGTAGTTCACTGTAAATGCTTACAGTTGCTGCCTTCTACAAATAAAATAGTATTTTCAACTATGCAGAAATGTCACTCAGTACATTAACCTAAAACTATAATTACTCTGATATTTAAGTAAATAAAAGCCAAATCAGCAGAGTATTTGTCTTGTTCCATCAGCTGTCATAAACTCACCAGCATACTCATGGATCCCACAGCCATTGGCCTCTCCTTCAGCTCAGGACAGTCTCTCATCTCTACAGCGGCGTAGAAAGCGTCCATGTCCACATGGACAATTACTCTACTTAGATCACAAGTCTTCTCCAACTCTGAGACCATTTTGTCCACCTACAAGCATTTTTCTTTCTTTATAAAGCATCGTGTTTGATAACAATCCATATAGATCCATCCTTAACCTGGCTTGTGTATTATGTGTCTGACCTGCGTTTGGGCTTTCTTCAGCTGCTGCTCTGTGATCTGAGCCTTTTGGAGCATCATTTTCTCAATACGCTGGTTCACCTGCTGCTCTCTCTTCAGCTCACTCTCGTAAAACCTGGATCCCTACAAACAAGGAAAAACATATTACTTCTGATGCAATCCAAAAAAATAAGCATCAATATTTTTAGGCTAAGTATTTTTTCTGCAGTCAGTCGTTTATTATCAGGTAAGCAGAGTGGATCTGTATGTATGCTGGGTTATTATGTGTTGTTGAGTTGTGTCTGTACCTTAGACGTATCCATGATGATTTTATTGATCTTGTCCCTGTCAAGACCCTCCATGCCAGCCTTGTTGTCATTGAGCGCCATTCTGGAGAGAAAGTTCCCTTCTTTGATGGATTCAGCTCCATTCTCCATTCTGCTTAGTTGGGTCCTGCTCTTTGTTACCGTTTCGATTTTAGTTCCCATCAGCTGATCCAGCTCGGAGGCTGGAAATCATTCTGTCCGCATGAGAAACTCGGCAGAATAATTCCGAGGCGTTTTTAACTCTAAACTAAATCAATACAGATGAGTTTGAATCACAAACTACCCGTCTAACGTTCATTTCCCTACATGTTTTGAAAATTAACGACAGTGGCAATTTTGGCGGAACTTCCGCGTACGTAATAGTCGACGACAGCGGAAGTATATTATAAAAAGGTGTGTGTTGGAGGTGACTTTATTCAAATAATTGTACTTTTGTATTTTACTGGAATTCTGTTGTTTCCTGTTTCTCAATAATAATAATAATAATAAATAAATAAATTTTTAAAAATTGAAAAAAAGGTGTGTGTGTGTGTGTGTGTGTGTGTGTGTGTGTGTGCGCGCGCGCGCGTGTGTGTGTGTGTGTGTGTGCGTGTGTGCGTATGTTATGCTTAATTTGAATTCAACTTTATCAAGTTCTCTGACAAAACCAAACAGCTAAAGCTTCGTACTATTTCACAGTTCCTCTACCACACCTTAACTCAAGTGAGTCTTTGGATCTTCTACGACTCTCAATAACTTTAGCTAAGAATGAATAAAAAATGTAAGTACTTTTTAAAGTGAAGATTAAAGGTTGAAAACAATTTTAGCTTTTTTTTAAGTACCCCACTGGGTGTTTAGAGATGTGCAGAATGAAGGTACAGTGTTTCCTTTAAAAGCTATATTTTAATTAAAAAATAACCAAATATTTATTTTGACAGCACTACACTGTGTGTTTGTGTTGGTGTGGCAGGGTGGGGAGATGGGGGCCCGGGCGGGATTTGATTCCCAGACTCCTGGGTGAGAGTCATGCACGCTAACCAGTCAGCCAAAGGGACATCCCCTTGGCCAAGTAGCCAGGGTGCATGATCAATCAGGACACAGTGACAGGACGCTCACACTGTCACATCTTCCCCCCTCTTTCCACAAGCACGTCCTCATGCTCCCGTGCAGGGTGCCACAAACTTCACATCCATGGACCTACTTGACAGTACTACATGGATCCTTCCGACAACGCCAAGTGTGGCAAGGTGGAGAAACTTGGGCCCGGGCGGGATTCGATCCCCAGACTCCCAGGCGAGAGTCATGCATGCTAACCAGACATCCCCTTGGCCAAGTAGCCAGGGTGCATGATCAATCAGGACAAAGTGACAGGACGCTCACACTGTCACATCTAGCAGCCAAGGGCACCACTGTAGGTTGCCAAAAAGTCCACAGCGAGGCTGGCACTGTGTAAAATGTCGGACTCGCAACAGCTGCTTCTGAGCCCAGAAGGTGTTGTTATCCTTCTCAGAAGATGAGCAACCATAAAAGATCTAAAACCACTAAGAGTTTAGGTGAAACCTATAACAGATGGTCCCAAATAAAAAAAGTTCACGTATTGGCAGCGAACCTGGTATCCTGACGGCTGGAAACCTTGTTCTATTGTTGCAACTACAACCTCCACACGCTAGGTGTCGCTTTGGCGTTTGTGTCCGATATTCCACCTTTAATCAAATGTTTTTTCACAGAATAGTTGTATTGAATTTTTTAGATCTTTTAAATTTTGATTTCACGTAATTTCCCAGATCCAAAGTTTAGATTTTTTTTCTCTGAATTCTCAGGAGTCAACACTGTTTCAGCTGTTTTAGTGTGCTTTATTAGTCTGGCTCATTTTTATTTGAAACAACAAAACCTCAGCTCTGTGTCTGGGTTAGATTATTATCTGAGCTTCAGCACCAACCTGGGGAACCTGCTTTTGAGCAACATGTTTTTGTGACTTGGACTTTCTGCATCGTCTCACATCTTGTACATGCTGTGGCACAGAAAAATGACTCTGAGAAACATCATTAGGACTGTGTTATAGTCGCTCTGAGCAAGTTTAACTCACAAGTACAAGCTTTCCCGGCCTTTATTAGCACAGGCCTATGATTTTTATTATTTTGTAAAAGGGCATTATTAAAGTACATTTCTATTAATAGAATTTTGTTGTTGTTTTTTTTAATCAAGGATTATCTTTTTAGTTTTCAATATTAACTTTGACAATTCAGCTAAATAAAATGTGTTATTACTACTAAAGCTAAAGTATCTCAGTTTCAAACTGAAGTTTTCAAAGCCTGAGACTGTAAACTCATCCTCAAAAAAAGTTAGAACAAAGAAATTCTAAAACTCTTATTGTGATTTAAGTGCATTTTGTAACTCTGCAGGTTGTTGGATTTTTTTTACTCTCAATTAGACCCTGCATCCATATTTGAATTTGAACACTAACTTAATGGTTGTTTTTAGTAGATTTTTTTTAATTATTCAAAATAATTTTATAGTTTGTCACTTTTTCAATTTTGAAGACAGCTTTGTTTTGCATTTTTGAGGTACTAAAATAGACAGACATAAAAAATAACGTAGGCCTAATAGTGTTTGATACATCACTAGACGTGGTTTAAAGCATTTATTAGCTTTGTCATTAGAAAATAATGTCATGATTCGACCCTGAAAACTTTAAAGAGAAAGTCACCCCCTACCAGAGTATTACTCCACTCCCACTTCCTGTTTGAAAAATGCAACAAATGCATAGCAGACCAACCAGACCAGGAGGGCGGAGCCGCTAACAAATACACACACACACACACACACACACACACACACACACACACACACACACACACACACAGGCTCACAACGACGTTGTAACATTGTATGATACCAGCAAACGTCCTAGGGTACCTCTTAGCCAATAGGAATGGCAGATTTAAATTCAAATGCAGTGCAGAGTTTTTACCTGACAACGGCACAACACTGACAGTTTTAGGCAGAAAATAAAAATTTTAACTAAAATGCACTACAGTGCAAAACTATTGACTACACGTGTCTGCAGCACGATTAGACACACATTTAGTTTATCAGAAAAAAGGTTGATTTGGGGGTGACTTGCTCTTTAAAGTCAAAATTTGGATATCTAATGCAATTTATCATCCTATAAATTTAATCAGTCTTTTTTAAGACATTGAACTGTGCCACTGTGACGGCAAACTCAGTAAACACATCATGGGATTACAGTCACATTTTGCTATTCCACTTGTTCTATTTGTGTAATCCACATGGATGAATCCCTGATTAGCATGATTATAATTCAGTAAAGAACCTATTTTATAGAGTATGTGTTTCTAAAAAAGTCTAAAGATAACCAAATGAATCTTTATCAATCAAAGATTTTGTTCATGTTGCTCTAAAGCTCATGAGACAATATCAATGACCTAGAATACTAACATGTTTTTTCTGATATGAGTGGACTTTGTGAACCTTAGACTTCAATGTTTTTGGTGTGGCTGTAAACAACAGACCAAAGAGTCAAGCAAAAGCAGTTTTTATTATTATTATTACACATATTACTTCAACTTATTTCTATACAGACACACATACCATCTTCTGTTTCCTGTGATGTACAGCAAAGCAACAAAATAAGAAACCCTATCAAAAAATACACTACACAAGAAATATCAAAATTTCCATTAAAACATAACCAGACACTAAGAAACGTAAAACATGGGAAAACAATGTTAGAAAACATGTTTTAAGACAGATAAAAGAAAAGTGACCTGCTCAGCTAAAATTCTTATTTCCGTTTTTTAAATGCGCCAAAGTCATTGCAAGTGACACAATCGTTTTTCCATTAATTTGAAAACATTGTAATTAAATGTATTTATCTTAAAATTATACCAGTCTGAAAATATATGGTTTTGAATTCTGATACAAACCAACCACTGCTGGTACTTTTATTTTGAAGATGTTGTACACTGTTTCCGATCGTTTTTCCATTAATTTGAAAACATTGTAATTAAATGTATTCATCTTAAAATTATACTGGTCTGAAAATACATGGTTTTGAATTCTGATACAAACCAACCACTGCTGGTACTTTTGGTTTGAAGATTTTTTACACTGTTTCCGGTTTAACTATAAAACCGTTAGCTTGATTTTTTTACGCAGCAGGTACACAGTAAAGCGTGGTTCTAGCCCCTCCCCCCCGTAAAGCTTCTCAGTTCTGCTACTGCTAGCTCAACCGCGGAACTACAGCAGAGGCTCGCTCCCTCCGTTGCTGTTCACTGGTAGGTTGAAGTTTAGACGCAGTTTTGACACGGAAACCTTTATTTGAACGTGATTACTTTCGGCTTCGTTTGCTAAAACATTTACGTGCAACATACAAGTTAAAGTTACCGTGAGCTAGTTGCGTAGTTTTCCAGCTAACTAAGTTAGCTAGGCTTGTTTGTATTCGACATCAGTTTCAAAACAAAGCCCGCAAAAACTAAGACCGTGATATTCAACTGTCAACGCCAGGGGAACTTGTTAAAAGAAGCGATAGCTTCGTCAAACTGCCGGAGGGAAATTGCGGCGCCCGACCTGTTTTGGACTTATAATTAATTACATGTTTACATTATTTATCCGACTTTAAGATTCGTTTAAATAAGCTTTCAGTCGGTTTAGCTGTGACGCATTGACATGATCGAGCCGTTAACTTAACTCTTTTTTTTCCTGTCATTAAAAATCAGATTTTAGGATTTCTTCAGATCTGATATTCAATGTCCGAAAAGAGTTCGTCGTCTGGTTCAGATGAGGATGTGGACCCGGAATCCGGACAACCCGTGGAGTTTGGAGGCGTTTTAAGCAAGGCAAGTTGTGAATAACAAGTATAAGTCACGTGAAAAGAAAAAAAACACCAGTAGATTTCTTTTCTGGATTCTTGCTTGTTTTTTTATGAGATCTGTTAATTGTATAGTCTTCTTGATCTTCTGCACATCCTGTGTCATTTCAGTGGACGAACTACATACACGGGTGGCAGGACCGATGGGTTGTTTTGAAAAACAACACATTGAGTTACTACAAGTCTGAGGACGAACGGGAGTACGGCTGCAGGGGTTCTCTATGCCTTAGCAAGGCTGTCATCACGGTAGGTGTTGACACTACTAGTAGTAAAGAAGGAAATGGAATATATTGCAGAAACACATACCAGAATGTATCACTAGTGAATTGTTACAATACTCCATTGAATGTGAGATCAGATGCATCCGTGCGCAGAGTTTCCATCTAATCTGGGCGCCTAGCTGAATGTCTGGTAATGGGATCTCCAGGAAATTACATCTGCAAAATCACTCCCTAAATTCTACCTGTAATTTAGCACTCACGAATCCAAGCTTTGGCTGCATACTTCAGAGACGAGACCTGAATTCCTCCTGTGCAGGTTGAGATATGCTGAAATTCAACACTCTGGTTAAATATTCACTTCTCGTTCAACACATCGCCAGCAAGTCCACTGGCCAAAACAAAGGGTTTTCTGTGGTTTGTGCGCTTTATTTATTTATTTATTTATTTGTTTTGCGAAAGGATTATTTGACTCCCGGGTGGATTAAAACAACAAATGACAGTTTACAGTGAGCTTCATTCAGTAAGAGGGCTTATTTATCTGAATGAGGGGGTCATTCTTGTGTTTGTGCCTGCTGACCAGAATAACGTTCTATGCAGCAGAAGATTAGTAACTGTTCTATAGTAAATCTGGCACGCTCGGCTTTATGACACAATTCTTGGTAATCAAAGTAGCAAAACCTGCGCTGCTACTTCTCACTGCCTCGGTTTATCTTAATACTAAACACACTTTAGTTTCAAAGGCAATTGTGTGACAACTTTGGAACACAGAGAAGAGCCTCTGCAATTTTTCTAACCTAACAGTTCCTATTAGTGTGTGTACCTGTAACACACACATCTGACTGTCTTCATATGAAAATACAACAAACCAGAAGCTTAAAACATTACTTTGGAACTTTGTCTGCTCTTATCCTAAAGATTTTTCTGCCTTGTACAGATTAAAAGAGGCCAGTGCAGCGTGGAGGTGCTTACACAGTGAGAATGTTCCTGTCAGAATGAACGAGTCGTAAACTTGATTGCAAAGCTGAGGTTTATGGTCCGTGTCTGATACAGCACAGCAAGATCGAGATTCAGCTCCCTAACTGGCCTCAAACAGAGCTTGGTGCACTTGGATGCTGCTTTTTTTTTTTTTCTTCTTCTTCAAATGATCTCGTAAAACTGCTGGGATGATTTAGACATGACACCTGGCTTTGAGAGAAAATAAATTATATTTTAGCATTGGTGTTTTATTAGAAAGCTTTCAATGAAACGTTTCACCAAAATAATGTTTGCCCAAAAAACCTGAGAAAATTACTATCAGGCTGAGAATTTGAGGTCAGAATGTGTGTGTGTGTGTGTGTGTGTGTGTGTGTGTGTGTGTGTGTGTGTGTGTGTGTGTGTGTGTGTTGTCAGGGGCAGCACATGAGCGTAATTCTGCAAATACAATTAAACTTATAGGCAGCGAAAGGTTAAGTCAGCTGACAGGGCAAGATGTATGCTGAATGGTGCAGAAGAAGAAAATCTGACAGGAGATCTGGGCAGCCATGTATTTTTTTTTCCTTAAAAGAATTCTTTTGCAGGGTAGATATCTCAGCTGAGCGGTGTGGTCAAATTCCAATCTGAGAGGAAACGAGTGAATTCTTTGTTACACGTGTTTGGACGCCTAAGGCGGCTAGTGTGCTGAGCTGGGTGGGGTACGTGATTGTGTGTGTGTGTGTGTGTGTGTGTGTGTGGGTGTGTGTGTGTGTTAAATAGTTTAAAGATTCCTCCCAGGAGTGGAAGGAAAGGTCATGGAGACCCAGCTTCAGGCTGGAGTTCTCTGTTTTGGTTTTCTTTTCACTGCTCTGCTGCAGCCATTCAGGGGTGGGGCAGCAGCCACAAGACATCAGTTCTCAATTAAGATGTCTGTTTATTGTGTGACATATGGTTCAGTGCGGCTGAATGAGTCCATGTGTTTCTAGTATGTGTCACTGCTAGTCAGTCATTGTTTCAGACAAAGAGTTATTAGTTGTATTTTTCTCCTGCTTCTCAGCAGTTTCACTGAGGTGGTGAAAAACTTGAGCTTTTACATTTTTACCTATAAATATATTCCATTAGTTTTTTTTATTTAATTTTCTGACATTTTTATTAACTTTTCATGAGTCCTCTCTTCTTTCCGTCTGTCTGCACAGCCTCATGAGTTTGATGAGTGTCGTTTTGACATCAGCGTTAATGACAGTGTTTGGTACCTCAGAGCAGAGGATCCTGAGCACCGACTCCAGTGGATAGAGTCAATAGAAGTGCATAAGGTGAGTAGTTTAAAGTTAAACTTTCAATAGTATAAATATCTGCATGTTTTTCAGGCTGTGTTTTCTGTATTTGGTTTACTTTTCATATTTTGTTGTTCCACAAAATTCCATTAAAATCACTGCCTAAATCCAGTTACTGTTGGTTTGCTGGTTTTTCAGGAATCAAAAATAAGGAATTCAGGATTGAACACTAATATTTGTTGCTTTTTTTTTTTGTATACGTTTGGTTTTTTGGTTCATATAGACATCATTTTCTCCTCTCAGCAGGCACAGCATTTGTACTTTATGTTCTGTGAGCTGGGCATGATGGTACGAGGATTCTCTCTGAGCTTGGTACTCGGGGAATGTGAAAAATCTGAGTGAGGAGTTGAGGTGGGGGTATCCCCATTCATCATGTTGCTGCTGCTCTCTAAAGGACGGTCAGCGATGCGTAGCTTTCAAGAAGAAGAAGAAGATGGAAAAAGTTTCAGATAGCGTCAGATTTTGTCTTTTATCTGAACACTGGGAGTGTCTCATTTGTCAGATGTTGACATGCCCACTTTAAAGACGGCTGAGCTGATGTTATGTGCAATGTTCGGGTTTTTATTGCTCATCAAACATAAAAACAGATTGTTTGACAAAGTGCAGAGAAATGTAGAGAACATTTATGAATTTATTCATATTTTATTGATGTTTACTTCCTTCCAGCTAGGTTTGGGGAGTCTGTGTTGTGTTCTGAGACGTTTACAGTTGCTGCAGCGGAGAGCAGCTTCTCTGAAACGAGCCATGGGTGATTCTGTTAATGCTGCTTAATGTTTGTAGTGTAGGTGTGAGTTGCTGCACACCTCTGGTCCATTAGCAATAGTGTGACAATGTTTCAGGGTCGAACTTGGATTTTGACCCACAGTAACCTCGTAAAGGTTGATGTGACATTACAGCAGGTAGTGTGTCTGTGCTGCTCCTCAATGGGTAAAAAAGGATTTGTGTTGTGCAAAGTTTGCTGAGATGAACCTAACCTGAGTTCTGTTTCGTTCCCTCCTGACTGCCAGTGGCAGTAAACAGAGTGGATGTATCTCCTCGCGCTCTGCGCAGGTCGAGTACTAATGTAAACAAAGTCACGCACGTGACACATAGCGCACCTGGTCGTGAGTCTATAAATTACGCGCCGATAGCTACGTTCGGGTCTCCCGGGATCTTCTCGCCCGAGAAGTTCCGAGTGATCCCTGTGACTGGCAGTCATCCAGGAACTCACAGAACCATAGTTACACCGTAACTTCCGTTTTTGTATGGCTGCAAACACCCAGAAGACAGCGGAGGTTGTTGTGGATGTTAGGAAGCACACAGCCCCCACTCCCTCCCATAACCATCTCAACGTTGCTTCCTGGGCATCACTATCACCCAAGACCTCAAGTTGGAGCCCACAATCACCCCCGTCATAAAAAAAACTGCCCAACAGAGCATGTACTTCCCGAAGCAGCTGAAGAAATTCTTGTTGCCAGTAGAGTCGATGAGGCAGTTGTACACTGCAATCATGGAGTCAGTCCTCACCTCTTCAATCACTGTGTGGTATGCTGGAGCTCCCATCAGGGACATGAAGAGACTGCAGCGTGTCGTACACTCTACTAATGCCCTTTTCAGATAGACATTTTGGAATATGTGTGGACAATTCAATCCGGTTTTTAACCGGAACTGTGTTTTCAGACACACCACTTTTGTACCGGAATTTGTCCTTTCGGCTGCGTTCACAGCAGGGAAAAGTTCCAGATGTCTGGGGGGGGGGTCGTCGTACTTATGTTAAGTATAACTCTGCGCACACGAAGATTCATAAGAGACCTGGATGATGAAGCTCAATGGTTAAAGGAATCACTGAAGCGGTGGGAAGCGCTCCGTCGCGCGTCTAGATGGTACCGTAGGAGGCGAGCTGCCATGGTTCGCCGCATGCTACAGCAGCGGGCTATCTAGGTGCGCACAGCGTCCCCTCCCCCTCCTCCCTGTCCGGGACTCGACCTCACCAGTCTGAAGCAGCCACCCTGTCCGTAACAAGTCCGGACCTGTTACTAGGGGCGTCGTCCGGTGAAATTATGGAAAACGTTATCCGGATGTTTGTATTCAGACACAAAGTTCTTACGGACAGAGTCCGGAACATTTCCGTTTTTCATGGCCTGTCTGAAGGGGGCTTAAGAAAGTCATTGGCTGCAAACTCCCCTCCATACAGGACTTGTACACCTCCAGGACATTGAGGCATGCAGGTTGGATCACAGCTGTCCCATGTCACCCTGGATACAGTCTTTTCCACCCGCTCCCATCAGACAGGAGGCTCAGATCTGTTCGGACCAGAACCTCCTGCCACAAGAACAGTTTCTTCCCCTCTTCAGTTGGACTTATGAATGACAATCGTAGGTAGGGATGCACCGATCAGGTTTTTTGCTGCCGATTACCGATATCAAAGAATGCTGATCACCGATACCGATCACGTGGATTGGCCAGAAATTTTCTACAACATTATAATGAGTGCTACAAACTACTTAATCTGGGAATAAAGAAAATGTAACCTAATCTAAAATGGTCTGTATTAAGGTTGTCACGGTGTGAAAATTTAACCTCACGGTTATTGTGACCAAAATTACCACGGTTTTCGGTATTATCGCGGTATTTTTTTTTAACGTGCTACATTTTCACACAATTAAATAAACCCTGTATGTCAGGAAATATTGTCTCCAGTTTGTGTCTAAATTTTGCCTAAAATGTGTTATTTTGTAATTATGTTGTTTATTTTTTTCCCTTTAGTCTTTAAAATACCAATATTTGCCCATAACTTCTTATTTTATGTCTCTTTGATGTCATCATTTTAAAAATATTAGATCAGATGATACTCAGTACTCAAGTAGCCTTCTAATCAGATACTTTTTTTACCCTTACTTGAGTAATAAACCCTATATCGGGAAAATATTGTCCTCGGTTTGTGTTCCAGTGAGCTTTGCAGATGTGGGAAAATGTCATCAGGCAGTAATCATTGTTAAATTCATAATTATTCTCGGAGAGAGACCAACTCTTATCTGCCCCTGGGAGTCCCGTAATGCATAGCGTCATTTCAACATGGGGGTGTCCGTGACACGGTTTATATGCAGGTAGCGGCGCTGCGGCTGCTTTATATAGCGACTCGTTGCATTCTGCCTCAACCCAAATCCTCAGATCACGCATTTTAGCTAAAGCGCTAACGTTAGCTTGCCTTGCGTTGACTGTAGAGTTGTGGGTGATGGTCACGCAGATGTGTCTGAGATTTGTAGCGTTGCTGCCTTTCACAGACATTTTTTCTGCACGTGCTGCAAACAGGATAGCCGTCTTCTATAAACTCCCTCGGCATTCTTCAGATATCCAAAAGATGCCCGTACTTCTGACTTTGTCTTCTTTGAGGGATAATAAATGTCCTCCTGAGCGCTGCCGTCTCCTCCTTTGGCCATTATTTCAGCTTTAGCTTCAAGAAAGTTTTGGTTGTAAACAACAAAGTGCGCATGTGCCGCCAGCAGAACACCGGCAACTTCAGCAGATGATACGGTGGCTGGTAAGGGTCACCGCGCCTACACCGCAGCCATGGTAAACCCACCGAGATAATGTAGTTTTTTTTTAATCAAGACGGTTATTATTATTGTCAACTTTTTTTTACCGGGGTTTACCGCTACACTGAAAACTCCGATCAAAACCGATAGGGGCGCTATCGGCCGATTGGGATCAAATGCCGATCCATCGGTGCATCCCTAATCGTAGGACGGCCAATTCCAGTGGCTTTGTTTCAGTCACCTGACCCTGTGCTGTGTTTCCACTCTGATCAGTACCTACACTGTCATATATATTAGCAGTTTCTCTAATAATTGCCGTCCTACATTAATGTTTTATTGCGCTTATTTCTTATTTTTGCCACTGCATTTCCTTACCTTCTGATTCTGGTCTGCTTCCATTCTGGAGCACCAAATTATTGTATTTTTTCATTTGTGTGTTTGTCATATTAATTTATATATAAATAATCTTTTCAACATGAAGCATCACAGTTATATATTGTAAATACCCTCCAAAACGGTCACTTTCCACGTGTGGGCTCATTTCCATGCATCTTTTGTAGACTAACACATTCATTCGCTCAGGCTGAGTTTTTGTCAGGAACAGGCAGCTGTGTGTGTGCATTAATATAGGTCATGGGTAATGGGTAACAAGTCATGATACCCATTAGTTTCTGCTTTGCAAATGCAGATGTTTTTGTGCAGGTTCACTTGTGTTTTTCAGTGTGGGTGTGTGTGGGTGTCGGCGGTCAGAAGTGGTGCTACATTTGGCAACGTTGAGTGCTGCTTTTCATCAATATTGCATCATTTTCTTTTTCTTCATTGAAGCAGAATTCATAAAGACTCTTCATTGTAAGAAAGCATTTGTTCACTGGGTTTAAAAGCTTGAGCTCTGAGAGGACGAGTGATTTGTGTCATAACTTATTCAGGCTGGTTGTGGGAACAGAGCTCATCCAGATGAGGAAGAAACCTGAAAATCTAAGTAGGAAGAAGAAATGAGAGAAAAAGAGCTGAGGTATAGAGTCCAGACAAATGTTGCTCCCTGCCTCCCACTCGTACCACTCTGTCTCTCTCTTCTGCTGTGTCATAGTATACAGTAGGCTGCTTCACTCGCCCACCTTTTCAGCACAGCATTGGTTTATCACACCAACAGCTCCAGACAGCGCTCGTCTTTTCTCTAATGCATCCATGCATGCACACCATCTTCACCCCCTCTCACTCGTCTCAGTGCAAGTGCTCACAGTCACCGACTCTTGCTCAATGATGGACGGCGGACAGAGAGAACGAAGAGATGAGATGGTTTCACAGATCAGGGTATGTAATGTTTGTATGTAGAAAGAGCAGAGTGTGTTGTGTTTAAAGCATTCGTGTGACCTTGATTTGAAGCAGATGCTCTTGTTCTGAGACATTAAGACTCCTCCTTTGAATCCCTCCTTCTGGTTTTTAAGAGCGTCTAGTGTCTGTTTCTAATCTAATTGCTTTGGAGTAAAAGTTTCCCCCTTCTGCTGTCTTTCTCTCTACATGAGCTACAGTAAGCCTGTCTGGTTGCTCTTCTTCATCTCCTCCTCCCTCTTGTTTCATAGTGAGGTGTGTCCCGGGAAAGTGGATTACAGCTTCCGCATTGTCAGATCAGAGTGGCGGGGGAGTGCCCGGCCATGTTGGGGCCAGCTAACCGCCAGGACTGCAGCGGTGCCCTGCTCTGCTTTAGCTGTTGGAATGGCCGAATGGTGGGCTTCAAGCATCTTGGCACGCTGCCCGTTCATGTCACTCATGCATGGAGGTCTTTAATTAGTATGCTAGTGTTAGGACATGAATACCATCCATTTTCCACTGCCCATACAGTAGAAGGCAATATTTTATTTGCATGCTGTTTAGCGTTTTTAGCTGGTTTTGGGATAACCAAACTCCACTGCACGCTCTCTTGGCTTACATGGCTTGGCATCTTCATACACCCAGATGTTTTTGTTTTCCAAGCAGAAATCTGCAGTTCTCACAGGTTCCTGTTGTCAGTAATTTAAATTATAAAGCCACAAGTGACTGTTTTAGTTTTTGTTTGAGTGGGTGTGCAGTCTGCATGGAGATGGTGGCTGAGCAGGTGCATAGTGTTCTCATCACACACGGGTTCTCGTTGCTTTTCTGTTCTAGGGTTTACAGCAGTAGCTTATATTCTGTTTTACCTGGATGTCATCGTTACAATAACCAGTATTACATGTGAAGCAAAAGTAGGAACAGGAACATAAATGTGTGCTCTTAAATTAAAACTTACAGATTTGGAAGTTTTTCCACATCTCTCCAAACTGTAGGTTCACGATAAGATCAGTAGAAAATACACAGTGATCCCTCGCTACTTCGCGGTTCGTTTATCGCGGATTCACGACTTCGCAGATTTTTTCTTTGGAGCCTTATTCAAGGAAAATTCGCCGATTCGTGGTATTTTTCACCGATTCGCGGCATTTTTCTATGCGAAATATCAAGAAATTCCTGGTTTTTTTTTTCATCAATTTCATCATAAAATGCACTTTTTGTAATAAAACTATAAAAAAAACAAGTAAAAAAAATTTTTTCTTGAGTTTTACCCACAAAAAGAGAATGTGATCATACGATAATTCAATATAGTACTGTACTGTAAATATGGTGTCCCTACTTCGCGGATTTTCATCTATCGCGGCCAGGTCTGGAACGCATCTACCGCGATAAACGAGGGATCACTCATTTTATTTATTTATTTTTTTAGCGCTTCTTGTTTTCGAACTTAAATGTATGGATTTGAGTTTATAGAACAATTCTAAGCATTCAGTTACTTTAATTGTAGATAATTACTTTTACAACAGTTTGTAAAAAAAGACATTCATCAGACACATTTGGCCATGTCACTGGTTAGATATGAACCCGTATGGAGCAGGTCTGTTTGGGCGTTTTGTAAAGAGTCTTCAGTAGAAGGAAATGTTTATTATTTATAGCAACCAGAAAGTTTAAAAGCAGCAAAAAATTGTAACTTCATCAACAAATAAATTCTTTGCAAAACTTTTCCAGGCAGCGAAGCGTCCTAATGGCTGTTTACTTATTAATATTAGTGGAGGTGGGTGAGGTCAGCCCAACGATCACAAACTCACGTTTCAAATTTTAAATGAACATTTTTGTTTCTCAGCTCCAGAAAACAGGCGACAGCTTTGTGTCTTCATTCTGTTGTTAGTTGTTTGTTAAAAACATGAAACTCTGTGTTTCAGCTGTAAACACGTGTAGCAAAGTCAGGATGTGCAGCGGTGCTTTTATTTCCTGCTTTTTATTTCACTTTTTTTATGGGCTTTTCCTTTAGTAAATGATGTTGCGTTTATTTTCGGCTCCTTTTTTCTCTCTGCCGTGGCGTTTGCCTTGGTTAAAAACGGCAGGTAAATTACACAGAAACAAGAAAGGATCAGAGGAAAGATGTGCAGCTCATTGCATTTTTGAAGAGATGCATCAGTTTAATGTAATTAAATGCTAAAATGTATGTGGATGCTCCGGCTGCCTCATTAATGTAATAATACCCTTTAACACAAAACACAGAGATCTTTTGTGTGTCCGGTTTTTAACACTCTCCCACTCTTCTCACCCTCAGTTTCCTTCACCCAGTTTGTCACGTTGTTGTGATTTGAGAGCTTGTGGCAGACTCCTGACCCGACTCCAGGTGCTAAAGAAATTCCTCTCAATTAAAACTGCTATTCAGAATAGACACGTGGACACAGACTCCACCAGCAGCCTGCTGGTTTTGGTTAGGTTTACATTTTGGCGTGAAACAGCTTCAGTGGTTGTGTGTTTTTACTCTACAGGTGTGAACAGCTACATGCTAGATAATATTATTTCTTCGGTTTGTTGTGCAGGGTGTGCATGCACATGAGTAATAAAGTTGTGTCACTTTGCTGAGGTGGCAGCTATCACCCCGTCATAAGTTGGCTACTTAATGGAACAACCCCCCCACACCCAGGAGCCTGCTCATAGATCTGTGTTTTACGACGTAATGTTTAACCGCACACTCCTTGCTCCAGAGTCCACACCAGCATTGTGACAGCGTGTTAGAATTGTTTTATCTCAGTTTAATTGTCCTTTCTACCAGGGATGGCCCGATCCGATCACATGATCGGAAATCGGCCCCGATCACCTGGTTTCAGACTGATCGGGACTCGGGCTTTACTTCCCGATCCGGACTCGGATACTTGGTTCAAATTACAGGAGAGCAACTTGGTTCTCCTTAAAGGTCGTCAGGCTCCCCTGATGCCCTTAACGTACACACCCAGAAGGAGCACAAAAAGATCCAGTTTCTACCGATATAATATTATTTATATGGACTCAGCATAGCGGGGATTCTTTAGAGCAGAGATGCAGAGCGCTGATTATTCATGAACTCCAGCTGCTTCTGCACACGGCCACAATAACATTTTCTAAGTTTCTAAGTGGCGTCACCAAAAATATACAATTAACCCACAGTCACTCATGTCCGTTCATTTTCTCTCTGGTAAGTTCTGTCTGTATTTGAGCATGACGTGTGGACGCGCTCGCGCTGCCCCCGCTGCAGCGCTCATCACTGGCGCAGCCGGGCAGCGCAGCGCACACTCCGCTTTTTTTGCGGTCAATAGATCAATTTGACCTGCTAGTTAAAAAGTTAGTTGTGAGGTGAAAAAGAAGGAAGCAGGCAGGAGTTTTTCTGGAGGACTGGGAGATGCAGGAAGATCAGTGACAGACAGGACAGGAAGATAGGAAAATAAAAACCAAGAAAACAAAACAAAGTTCTTAAACAAATAAAATGTAGGTAGATTTATCCCACTACACGTTTGTACCCGTATAAAGCAGTAATTTATCAGCATGTAGTATTTATATAGTTGATACAATTCAGATCATCTTCAAAACTCCGTCCCATGCCCAGGGACGTATCTAAGCATTTTGGGGGCCGAGGCAAAATAGACCCCTGCCAGGTATTTTAAGTTGAAGTGCGATCTGTTTTTATGTTAGACTTTTTATATTTGCAGTAAAGTCCAAAAGTGAAGAATTTATGTTATTTAGTACTTGATTGTTCAAGCTACCTCACAGAAGTGATCTGTTGTTAAAAATTAAAATAAAAAGGTCATTAAATAAAAAATAAGAAACATTCTGGAACTGTTTCTTCCTTCTTCTTTTTTTTATGTATCAAAAGTATCGGATCGGGGCTCGGTATCGGCAGATTCTCGAAATCAAATGACTCGGACTTGGACTCCAGGGTATAAAAACCTGATCGGGACATCCCTACTTTCTACAGCTGATGTCCAAAACAGTCCTCTGTCCTCATGTACGATGTTCATGGAGTTGCACGTTTCACTGATTAAGTATAATTCGTATTTTTATTGTTAGGTCTGTCATCTGGCTTTAAAACTAGCAACATCCTCATGTGTTTAGCATGTTTCATTTGATGCTGAAGAAAAACAAAACGGTTTTATTTCAGAAGGTTGCAGTAAAACTAGACCTGAGGCTGAATTTCTTTTTTCCTGAGTAGGTGTCCAGCTCCCGCTCTGTTCTGAGATAATTACTCAGTGTTAAGTTTGATGACAAATAGTTGATCTCATTTTGCTGGTTGAGTAAAGTTTTCTGCGTGTTTACTGATCTTTGGTTGTTTTTTCTTTCCTCTTCCTGTTTCTGGCCTCTAACTCTCCTCCCACCTGGTGAACCGAATGTCAGGCTGAGTCTGGATATGGTTCGGAAACAAGCTTGAGGCGTCATGGTTCCATGTTGTCTCTCACCTCAGCTGCAAGTGCCTTGTCGTCCACATCCACCTCCTCCTTCAAGGTAACAAAAGGCCCCAGAAACCAGAACAATCTGAAAATTACTCGGCTGTTCACTTAACAAGCTGATCTGCAGACTCTGCTCAGAACCACAGCATTGTATTAGGAGTGTTAAGATTAGGTTTAATGAACATATAAGTAATCCTCCCGCTGTAAGGAAGGGTTTCTCATGACGTCTCTCTGCTCAGAAGGGGCACAGGCTGCGTGAGAAGTTGGCAGAAATGGAAACCTTCCGGGACATTCTGTGCAGACAGGTGGACACCCTTCAGAAGTATTTTGACTCCTGCGCTGATGCCGTTTCCAAAGATGAGTTTCAGAGAGACAAAGGTAATCTGTGGCTTCAGTACACACATGATTGAATATTTTAAAATAATTGGCAAATAAAAGCATTCACAGATGTTTTCTTCCTTCGTGCAGCCTTAGAGCTAAATGAGAAGTCCTGTTAGGATAACTGAGACAGGAAACCGAAATCAATACTTGCTTACAGGACATTTTGTGGGTTGTTCTAATCTCTGAGGCAGAACCTTATTATGTACGTTAAAGTTCTTTCATATTGATCCTCTGTGGGAAAACCTGAAATGTTATTTGCTTAAAACAGGGGTGGGGAACCCTGGTCCATCGAGGGCCGGTATCCAGCATATTTTAGTTTCAACCCTGCTTCAACACACCTGATTTCAATCAGCAGGTGATTAACGGGCTTCTGCAGAGCTTGATGAGCTGCTGAACAGGTGAATCAACCACGGAATCAGAAGTGTTGGAGCAAAGACATGCAGGACACCGGCCCTCGAGTACCAGGGTTCCCCAATCCTGGCTTAAAAGGTATAAATCAGTTTCCAAATGAGCTGTTTTCTCTCCAATAGTAGAGGAGGATGAAGATGAATTTCCTGCCACTACAAGACCCGATGGGGAGCACAATCACAACAACAACGGCAGCAAAGAGAAACGTGAGTCTGACGTCATGAACATTCAAATTGCTGTGAAAATGAAACAGAACTAACTTAGTTTGTGTCTATTTTAAAGTTGAGTTTTGTTTGTGTCAGTGTTTGCTCCTGCCAGTCCCAAAGGGATGAACGGCATTGACTTTAAGGGTGAAGCCATCACCTTTAAGGCCACCACAGCAGGCATCCTCTCTACTTTGTCTCACTGCATTGAGCTGATGGTCAAACGGGAGGATAGCTGGCAGAAAAGACTTGACAAGGTACAGCGTCGTAAACAAGACCACTCATTTTAAAATGATAAGTAAACAATGGTTTCTCTTTAGGGCCCAAACCAACAGCACAGGTGTTTAGTAAACTCAGTTTACATGAGTTTTGGTGTCTCTGAGCTAGCTCTGCTAGCTCTGCGTTACACAGCTATTATCTTAGCTAAACCCGGAGCCATGGGGGTGCCCAGACATTCTCTTCGCTCTGTGTTTGAGTTCATCAGACTGAAGTGGTTTTCCTGTCGACCTGTGTACGGTGAGGTTCAGTGCGTTTTGTTGTGCCGCCACATGAAGACCCGAGTTTGCACAATTTCTACGACTCTTTTGAAGAGGGATGCTCCTCCTTAGCTGGGAGGATCAGACCCAGGCCCTGTCCACACGTAGTCGGGGATCTGCCAAAACGTAGATATTTTTCTACGTTTTGGCCTGTCATCCACACGAAAACGGAGTTTTTTCACACAAAAACGGATCTTTTTAAAAACTCCGGCCAAAGTGAAGATCTGCGTTTTCTCCGTTTTGGGTGTCTGCGTGTGGACAGACAAAACCGGAGTTTTAAGGTCCGCAACGTCACTTTCCGCGACAAAAAAATGCCGACATCACGTGTGCAACCTGTGTTTACACTAGCCGACAGCATGGATGCCCTCAGAGCTGCGCTCGCTTTATCAATTGTCCAAGCGCTTTTTGCTTGTTTTTTTTTTTTTTGCAAGCGGAATTACTGCTCCTTGCGGAAGACCACAGACGAAGGACGAGGTTAAGAACGGGGGAAGTACTGCCGCCTACAGGTCTGGCATGTCCTTAACAACGTATTTATCCGGGTACGTGTGGACAGTGTTTTTTTAAAACGAGGTGGTGTGGACGCAAGTTTTTGGAGGGGCGGATATTCGTTTAAAAAAAAACCCGGCTACGTGTGGACTAGGCCCCAGTCACTTCTGGAGCTTTTAGTGCAATTTCTGACCTCGTGATTCAAATTTACATTTTACTTTTACATATTTACTCTGTAATTACATGATTTAATATGTAGCAAAGCACAATATATGAAGATAAAGGCATTCAAGTAAAAACAAGGCAACTTTAAAACGTAAATATTCTATAAAATACGGCTTGATTACATTAACAGGAGTGAATGCAAGTCATTGTTTTACACCCATTTAGTTAAAAAAGGGATTTTTAGAAAGTTCCTTGATGACTTGGGTAAGATGTTTGGATAATGTAATCTTTATTCTAAAGCTGGTTGTTTAATTATTCAGTCCCAGAAAAGTGTTGATGAAGCAGTGAAGTGTTTCCATCCTCCTGAGGAAGTGTTACGAGTGAAAAGATAGAGTCGTTTACAAATAACTGATCTGATCGCATCAGTTCCCACATGTCTATAGAAACCTGCTGTCTCTTTAAGAGTGTCCTCTCCATATATTAGTTAATCTGGTCGAGCCAGTTTTCTTTCTTTTCCATGTGTGTGTGTGTGTATGCATGTGAAAAGGGCGTGCCACCCAACCCCTAAAACTCACAAAAGCCGGGAAGTCTTTTCAGCCAGACTCCACTCGGGGAACTCTCGCTCCGACTTGTATTTGGTTTTGAGCGGGACGTTTAGATTGTGGGTCTGGAGGTCGACACAGAAGTAAATGAAATAAAAGCATAGCTGGGATTTGTGTAGAAGGAGCTGTAGGAAATGACTTCCTGGTGGAAGCCGTCGATACACCGGAGCACTGAGCTGCTTAAACACCAGACACAGAGGTGGATACCTCTACAGACATGCAGCCTCCACTTCACAGTAGGTGTCAGTCTGCCTGTACAGCTGTTAGACGGTTAAATACTGGATCACCTCCTGCTGTTTCTTTGTTTTGTGGCAAGTGTTGCATTCCTACACCTTCTGTTCTCTGTCTGGTTAGTCTGTTTGTGTCACAGTTACTTCATTTTCTCCAGTCTTCCTTGGATTGTGCAAAATTCTTCACCTCATTACACCGTGTGTTCGTGTGTGTGTGTGTGTATAGGAGCTGGACAAACGGAGGAGGATAGAAGATGCCTACAAGATGACCTTGAATGAACTGAAGAAGAAGTCGCACTATGGAGGCCCAGACTACGAGGCACGATGATCTGATAAGAACTGATGGGTCTTCCTCTGAGCTGTTCACCTGGAGTTCTGACCCCGCTTGTTGGTTTCTCGTAGGAAGGGCCCAACAGTCTGATTAATGAGGACGAATTCTTTGACGCGGTGGAAGCAGCGCTGGACCGACAAGACAAGATAGAAGAACAGGTGGGATGAAAATATCTCTTGAAACTGCTTCACAAAACCGATTGTTTTTTTTGTTTTTTATACCTAACCTATTTTTGATCTAATCTACTTATTATCACTCTTCCTGGCTCAGTGTCACTCTGAGAAGGTCAGGATACATCGTCTAGCTCAGGTTCCTACTGGAGATGCCTTTTCTACCATCGGGACTCACAGATTTGCTAGCAAGGTAAAGCAGCGTTTTTCTCTTAACAGTAAATTTTGCATCCATCCTAAAATGAAGCTACTTTGTTCTTTGTCTCAATCTTTGTGTGTATACCTTCTCATTCACCCGTGGGATCTCTCTGTATCACCTGATGCTAGAGCGTAAGGTTGGACGATTGGACGAAGTTTACCAACAGTCAGCAGTAGGTCGAGCCCTTTGCCGGTCGTTTTTTAACCCTTAATGTACTCCCCTCCTGTGACCTTAGAGGACAGAAACGGCCGCTCGTAAAAGTGGCTATAAAAATGTATACATTCATATTTATTTTGCTTTTTTTTCCCTAAATCTGTTCAACATATTCAGTCCTGCTGAAATCTATAAAAACTTCATTCATTTTGAGAATCCAGTTTGATTACTCAGCATCACTGAGCATGCTGTAATTTATGAAGGAGGAAAACAAAAACACACACACAAAAATTGGGTATTTTCCCAGTAAATCAATTTGCCTCCAGCCAGGCACATAAACGTACTAATTGTATTTGTTTTCTACACTCTGAAGTTCAGTAAGTGAGTGAAACTGTGTTTTATCCACTTATCAGAGGCCAGGTTGATCTTTTCACCTCAATACAAACAGCAGAAGATCTAAAGAAATGTGTAAAGTTTCTCGCCTAGGAGAGAATTGACTGATTTCTGTGGTGAACAGTAAAAATGACAAATTTGACAATTTTTCCCTAAAATGAAACTGTAATATCACAGAACGCATCATTATTTGTTGCAGATGTTACAGGATCAAAAACTGTGGTTTGAATGGAAGTCAGTGGAACATTTTAGTCCTCAATAGTCATCAAGATGGTACATTTTAAATTCAATTCAAAAATACTTTATTAATCCCAGCGAGAAATTGATTAAAAATTTCATCACATGCATTTTCAGCAATGGCTGAAGGTGGAATATAAACGGTTGCCAAGACAACACTGGCAAACTGTCTTGGCAAATAATATGGGCGACAACTTTCTGCCAAGAGTTCAACATCTGGGCTGCAGAGACGACATTTCACTGAAACATGACATGGATGGCACCATCTGTTGTTGACACGCAGCACTGCTGATACTCTGGCTGAGTCCTTGAAAGGGCTTGGAGTTCCTCCATCTTGTTGGCCAGTGATCTCACATTGCCCATTATGATCGATGGAAGAGATGGTTTGAATTCTCCGTTTTGCTCCCGCTCTGCACCCATGCTTCTTGTGTTTTAGCTCATTTGGGATTTGTGGCTTCAGTTGAGGTATTATTTCAGCCTTTCCAATGTTAATCAGCTGCTTCCGATTGTAAACCAGCTTGTTGCCATGGTTACGAATCATAACAAATGCTCAAAAAGTTAAAAAAGAGCAGTAAAAATCCTCTAAGCGTCACAGCACCAGAAACAGAAAAGTAAAAGGTAAAAAAAAAAAATACAGTTTGTCTTAAGAAGAAGAAAAAATGTCCAAAAAAGGCAAAACTTACACGTAGTTAACAGAGCTACTCCAACATGCAGCCGCCCAGAGCAGCGCGAGAATTGGAATCAGTTGCTGTACAAAAACTATTGATGCAAACAATTTTAGATATTTATAACATAACCAAGACTGATTTATAATAAATGCCCCTGGCAGAAAAAGTTGTATTTTCTTGGAAAATAACTAGTGTGTGTGTGTGTGTGTGTGTGTGTGTGTGTGTGTGTGTGTGTGTGTGTGTGTGTGTGTGTGTGTGTGTGTGTGTGTGTGTGTGTGTGTGTGTGTGTGTGTTTAATTATAAATTGCAGCAATGACATTGAGTAATCACACTGGAATTTGAAGGGTTAAAATCCTCAAGTGATTAAAATTTTAAAGGTTTGAGCAGGGCAGAAGTTTTTTAACAGATCTATGAAAAAAGTATAAAAAGAAAATAAGAGTGTGTACATTTTATATAGCCACGTACGAGCGGACGTTTTTGTTCTCTAAGGTCACAAGAGGGTACGTTTCTTTTTCCATAATGTTCCCTTGGTGTTTTTTCAAAACTCCAAATTGAATTTCAGAATTTATCAGGAGAAGTTTTGCAACAAAAATGTTATACCATATGCGCAAACAATGCTAAAATGGCATCTAAAACAAAAAGCAAAATACTGCCTAAATAGACTAAAATGTCCCAGTGACACCTGAGGGTTGAGATATTACTTTGTGCCTGTGACTTAGTGCTGCAGATGGGACATTACATACTTCTGGATAGGGCTGGATGGTTTCTGCTTTTGCAGACTTGTTCAGATATGATTGGTGGACCGCTGTATTTCAGGCCCACAAAGTGACTAAACCTAACCTGATTCAGTAGAACGCCCCTCGTCATTTGTCAGACCGACGAATGTCCGTTGGAAAGCTTTTGCACATCGCCCAACCTTACTGGAATACGATGTGGTGGTGCTTCACTCAGATCATGGCTCTGTCTGCCTTATTGGGATCTCCATGTTGTGATCACTGAGCTTTATTCTGTTCTTCCAAACATCTCTCTGCTGCTCAGTCCCGTAGCTATTCTTCCTCCCTGTCCTCGAGCGAGCTAGTCAGCGCTTCCGATGACATTCACAGATTCAGCTATCAGGTACTGTACTTGGTAAACCACACACACACCTGTAAGGGTCATGCCAGCGCCCACTTGTTTTCATTTCAGTTAGAGCAGCAAGCATGAGAGCGCTCCCTAACCGCTCACTCCAGGATTTCACAAACACGTTTTTGTGCAGCGATGCAGAAAGACGAAGTTCCTGGGGTGATCAGGTTGTTGTGAGAACATTAACAGCTGTCAGTCTAGCAGATGGTCTAACACTGCATGACCTGAATCGGGTGAAACCTCTGAATAAACACCTTTTCCCCTTCCTCACATCACCCTTCTCCATCCACAGCATGAGCAGACATCTTTGTTTTTATTTTAAAAAAACACCCTCCAGCAGGATTAAATGATTTATTTATTTGGTTTCTGCTTTTTCGTAACTCTTTTTGCTTCATAAATTCCTAAAATTCCAAGAAGGAATTTACTTTTACTGTTTGCTCTCTAACCTGTGTGTAAGAAATCCTGATTGTTAGGCAAATCTGGATCATTTGATCCCTACCTGGTTCAAACGGGTTAAGTAAAAGCTGCCCTAACAGGAATCAATGTTTCTCTGTCTCTCAGGTGGAGGAGATGGTGCAGAATCACATGACTTATTCTCTTCAGGATGTGGGTGGAGATGCCAACTGGCAGCTGGTGATAGAAGAAGGCGAGATGAAGGTGAGCTCAGAGAAGTGTTGCTATGAATCATTCTCCTGGTTGCTAGGCTATCAGAAGAAATGGAAACAAAGTCCTTATGTTCACTCAAGTCCAAAACTGACTTGTGTTAGCGGAGTTAGGGATGTAGCAGCGAGGTGGTGGGTCAGGGTTACAGCTCCTCATCCTGCTGTTGTGACAGGTTTACAGGAGAGAGGTGGAGGAGAACGGTATCGTCTTGGATCCTCTTAAAGCTACTCACGCTGTTAAGGGAGTGACGGGACATGAAGTCTGTCACTACTTCTGGGACACAGATTTCAGGATGGACTGGGAAAGTAAGCCGACACCCTCCGTCAACATTTTTTATGTTCCAATGTCATGACCCGACTGATCCGAGCGTTCCCTCCCTCAGCCACCATCGAGAACTACAACGTTGTGGAAACACTTTCTGACAATGCCATCATTGTTTACCAGACACACAAGGTAAACGTGATATTTTTTAGGATTGAGCCGACACTCGTTACTTATTAGATCGGTGATGTTGTGGCGGCTTTTTTGAAGGCAGCTGACTGGATCCGGTTGTGTTTCAGAGAGTGTGGCCCGCTTCTCAGAGAGACGTGCTCTATCTGTCAGCCATCAGGAAGCTTCTGGCAACAAACGAAAACGACCCCGACACGTGGCTGGTGTGCAATTTCTCTGTGGACCACGACGGAGCTCCTGTGAGTGTTTATTCCGCCTTGTTTCCCAAATGAACATCAGAAGGAAACAGTTTAGAAAACATGTAAGAACGGCTAAAGAATACATTTGTATTTCCTAAGAATTAAAGAGGACCAGAAAGTATTCCAGCATGCTTTGGTGGTGAGTCATCAGATGTTTAAACGGCAGCAAACTTATTTCATAATCAGGGGATTATAAACTATAATCTCGAATATTAAACATTCAAACCACATAAAGAAGAACTTTACATTTTAATATTAAATTAAACTGTGGTGCATTCAGGCGCATCCCATAGAGGACGGGGGATTGGTTACACATCTGTGTTTGAATGGGCAACGTCGGTTCAGGGGCAAATATAATCCAGGGTTTGTTTCAAGTTCAGACTGGATATTAGGACACGTGATACGGTGGATTATTGTGGTGTCAGTTACAATAAAGCCACCTGTGTGTGTGTTGGGGGGGGGGGGGTGTTGGACTTGGAGGTAGGTTGCTTTATATTGAGCAGCTTCTTTAGGCTAAATGTGTAAAAACAGACTAGAAATGAGTTAAAGGTCTGAATTCATAAAGGATCTTGTTGCTGTCATTAACTGAACCCAGAAACTGTTTTCAAACAAATTTTTTCTATTAGATCATTAAATGTATAAAATGTGGCGTTTGTGTCTTCTGCCTCAGAGTCAAAGTTCAGGGAATTTAGGTTTTTCTGTTGAAGAGCAGCTTTATTGAGGCAAGCTGTTATTGGGAATATTGCTCATTTTATCATTAATATATTTAATTTATCTTGGTGTCTGTTTTATGATCCATAAAGTATGCAGAAGGTAAAACTTTAAATATGTTTCAGGTCGTTTTGAATTATTTTTAATATGAATAAGTATTAGTTGCAAAGCTTTTTTAAATTAGAAATTAGTTTCAGACCTGTTATCCTTACATAATTAAATCCTTTCATCTCAGGGTTATTTGAATTTTACATTTTTTTTCCTTCCAGCCTACAAACCGGTGTGTCCGTGCCAAAATCAATGTCGCTATGATCTGTCAGACACTGGTCAGCCCACCAGAGGGCGACAAAGAGATCAGCAGAGACAACATCCTCTGCAAGATCACTTATGTTGCCAATGGTAAGTGTCTCTCTTTAATAGTGTCCAACCTAAAGCATGTGACGTCATCTCCTCTCACCAGAGGTCACCCCGCTGCCCCGTGAAGCTCAGTGGTTAATTATTAGTCTGTCATAAATCAGCCAGAACACCGTTTGATGCTAATCTTTTGCGGTGTGGTTGCAGTAAACCCTGGAGGCTGGGCTCCAGCTTCAGTCCTCAGAGCCGTGGCTAAGAGGGAATATCCCAAGTTCCTTAAACGCTTCACCTCCTACGTTCAGGAAAAAACATCTGGGAAGACCATCCTTTTCTGAACACTCAGAGGTAATAAGGAGCCTTGGAAGATGTTTCACTCTTTTTTTATTATTTTAATCCATCGTTCTGTTTCAGGCTGTCCTGTTGGAGGAACGGTGTTGCTCTTGGAGATCAAACAATCCATTTTTGCTTTTCACTTTTAAACATCTACCTGCAGGACTTCCCTTGTGGGCGGGGGGAGTGAGACTGTTTACAGCTTTAACGCAGCAGAAGTTTCCATCTCCGCTACATTTAAAAGCCCTGCTGCCACCAGCCTCTGGCCATGAAAGCACATTTTATCAGTTCAAGAGTTTCAGACGATGTTTTTTTTTTCCAAATGTCAATCATTTGCTTGTTTTGTATAATTTTTATGACTACAGGCTTTTGAACTTGTTGGGAGGGTTTGCCTTAATCACTAGTATTACAGCTACTTGTTTTGCTGCTAAAGGAACTAGCATGGGGGGTTTTGGTAAACTCTCCTTTTATTGCCTTTTCTGCCCCTCCTGTGACGACTCCTCACAGTCCGATGGGGGGTCGGAGTCTAAAGCCTTGAAGTCTTTATATTTCTAGTTTCGGAGAGCACCATAGACACAATGTATTGTACAGAAACAAAACCGAAAACGTTTACGAATGTGTGAAATGTGAATCGACTGTTAAAAAAGCTTGAATATATTTAAAGTAGATGCAAGGAAATAGGAGATAATTGCTAATGAAATTTGTTTTAATCAGATTTTTTGACAGCTGCGTTGCGGTCGGGGTGAATCTGTTGGATCAAGTTTCAGACCGATGTTTAAAATGACCAGCCACAAGGTCTGATGGGAAATTTTTCTCTTTAAGAGATGAATGGATACATTTAGTCTTTTTGTAGTTTTTCTTGATTATATTTATCCCCTTTGTGAGACGAGAAGAAGAAATTCACCTATTCTTGGGTCAGGTTTCAAAATAGTGGCACCTTTCAGTTTAGTTGAGCAAATTTAACATTTTACTCAATGCAGCAGCTTCCTGCTGTTTGACTGATAAAAGACCTTCTCCCAGAAGGCCTTAGTCACCAGGGTGAACCTTAACAAGTCTCCAACTTCCCTATTTACAGCCACCAGATGTGCATTTATCAGCACCAAGCTGGGGAGCGCTGTGTCAACATTTCACATCATATTACCTCACAACTTTATTTAGATTTTGTTCTGTAACATCAAACATTTGGGAGTTCAGTTGTTCTGTTTGGTTGGGAGAAAAGGAAATTGACGGTTTGGATCGTTGTTTTGCAGATGACACAATCCAGATCTTAGAAAAAAGTCCGCTGAAGGATGCTGTTAGTGTTTTTAATTCTATTTTGTCAGTAATCTACACACTTTGTATATTTCTAAGTTGTACAACTGAAGTGTTATTATTTGCACTAAATGTAATGCAATTTGACAATGTTCTGTAAATTAAAATCATTACACAAAAGAGCTGACGAGGTGTGCGGTTAGTGCAAGTGACAAATCAGTTAAAGGGAACATTTTATGAGTTATTCTTTAAGTTATAATAGGTCAGTGGTTGTTTAAAACATGCTTATGAATTTCTTTGACCTGAATCCTTCTCATGTTAACTTATTTCAGCATTTTTATTCGAGAAAATTTCAGTGCCTTACTGTTTCAGGGCTCTGTCACTTTAAGAAAACCAGCTGGAACTGGCCGCTCTCACCCATCTCCCGCGCAGGCTGCTATAAGCTGAGAAGCTCTAATATCTGGGAGGGGCTTAGAGTAGAGTCGCTGCTCTTCCAGCTACGGCTGAATGATCGTATTTGGACCAAAATCGCAATTTCATGCTACGCGATCGCGTGATCATCAAAGCTGCGTGTTTTTTTTATTTATTTTTTTTATTTATTTATTTTTTTGCTATAGCGCTCCTGACTGACCCAGGATCTGTTGTGTCAACCACTTTAGATATCTGGGGTCTCCTCCTGTGTTAGGATGGTGGCAGCAGGGGACGGGGGCAACGGTATTGGAACTGAGCCCAATGTTTCAGCCGACAAAGCTGCACATTTTGGTTATTTTTCTCCCCCCCCCCCCCCCCCCCCCCACACACACACACACACACATCTCTACAAGAGCCGATAATGGCTTTGACCATTTATCTCTGCCACGAATGCCATTTCTCAGCATCGTGGGTGGGTGAGTGGAGGACTTAGAAACTTGTCCAGCACCGGAACGGGGTACACCATAATAACACTAAGTGGACTTGAAAGCACAACTTCTCATAAAAATGGATAGAATTTCTCTGATGGCACGGTAATTCAAACGAGCACGTAAAACATTGTCGGAGTTCTGTGTTAGAGCAGTTTTAATGGGAGCCTGCCTTGTTAGATAATGCATGGTAAACCGTGTGCATTTTTTTAAAATTAAAATATTTGAAAGCAATTTTAATCTTCAGTTTTTCTCCTTGCGTTATTAGAGTAGAACAAAAACACATAAGCTCCTCTCGATAAAAATCCATTACCTCACAAGCACATTAACATAAATAAAACGATTTGATTTTATAATACAGTTGCTGGTCATAAAATTATAAAATGGGAAAAAGTTGATTTCAGTGTAGTGTAGATGATGAACATTTACACTACATCAGTAATTGCATTTAAAAAGTGAAACTTGCATATTGGTTTAATTCATTTCACACAAACTGATATATATATATATAGATATAGATATAGATATCATATCTACATAGTTTATATATAGATATATATAGATATAAATCTATATATAATATACATAGAGAGAGAGGGAGAGAGATCTATATAAATAAAGTACATCTATTTAACATTTTACTTTCTTTACCATGGAATGTGCTACTACTAGTTAACCTGTTGAATTATAGATTCACTAAAATAATGATTAAGACAGTAAAGTTTATCTCTTACTAAATAGAATATTTACTAAGAGATCACAATCTAGCCATAGAAATACTACTTGGTGTATGTGCGTGAGTCTCTGCTCTGTCTTCTCGATCCCCAGTGAGTCTGGCGGATGGCTGCTTATACTGAGCCAGGATCCTCTGGAAGTTTCTTCCTGTTAAAAGGGAGTTTTCCTCTCCACTGTCACCAAATGCTTGCTTAGTATGAGAATTGCTGTAAAGACACTGACACCAGTCAGTGATTAGATGCAATCTGCTGGGTTCCTTATAATGATTGGCTTAATCAACTGAATGTTTACTTTGTGAAGTGCCTTGAGACGACTCTTGTTGTCATTTGACGCTTTATAAATAAACTGCATTTAATTGAACCAGGTTTACATTTATACTTTTAAATGTTTGCACCTTAAACTGTGTGTGTGTGTGCATGCGTGCGTGTATGTGTGAGAGAGAGACATCTCTGTTGGCCTGATTTTATTTTACTACCTCCTTTAGTCAGCACAAAGCCAATTTCGTTGTGCGCCTGTGCAATGACAATAAAATGATCTTGAATCTTGAACATGCACAGTTATGAGATTTGATCTCGTCATGGTAAACAAAAGCTGCTGATGAAATTCTCTTTATTTATAGGAAGCTCTTCTATACAGAATATAAATATGCATTGGTTTTACATTCAGTGATTGAAGCCATTTTTCAGAAAATGGTAAAATGTTGAATTACATAAGTTACAGTTTTAACTGAGTTGAACGTCTAGAGTTGGATAGTTCCCGATAAAGAAGCTGTAAGATGCGAGTCTCATAACCGTTCAGTTTCAGAGGATCTCCTGAGTGAAAGCATCTTCAGTCTCCACAAAAAAGTTTCACAAAACTGGTCAGAAATAAGCTACAGTGTTCCTTCATTGTCTCAACAGGTCGACGAAACAGAAATGTGCATTTGTGGAGAAAAAAGGGCGGGGGGGAAAGTGCATGTTCACACATCCAAATCTGTGCTCATGTCAGGTAACCCACCCGCCATAGCAGCATCCGTAAAGTACAAATATCTTTTGGAATAAATCCGAACTAGTGTCAAAAGTGCTGTATGTTTTTAAATCAAGCGCAAGTGCATTGTCTCTCCGCTCTAAAGGATCCAGTAACCGTCTTTCCTCATTTGGAGCATCAGTTTGTCCTGTTGGCAGAACAAACGACAAAAAAAGAAAAAGAAAAACTGCCTCATTAGAAAAACTTGGCCACATCACAGAATGTGTTTGGCCTCTTTAGCATCAGAATCGAGCATTCAAGCACGTCCCCTCTTCGTTCTTGGTGGCTGTGGCAACCAGGTGTCCTCTGCATTGTGTCCCTCTACATCAGGGGACGAAGATGCCACCATGAATTTATTGTAAACATTTCTCGTCAGCAGCTACAGCGGCTGCAAATTTTAAACGTCTTTCTGCTCGTCAGAAATGTGTGGTGTGTGTCTGGCCTCTCAAACAGGAAATGCTTTCGATTTCCCTCTTCAGACCTTTAGAGGTGTTCAAAACTAGATGGTGCTGATGATGGACGCTTGAAAAACCTGAAGTTCAGCAAGCTACGTATACCAACACGTCACCACAACTCTGTCGGGCTCCAGCAACCAGTGGGGATTGGCGAATACAAGTGGCAACGTGGTTGTAGCAGGACATGGGGTGGAGACGCCAGGCTGGCGTGACTGATGGAGGGTGGTGATTGTCTTATGTGTCTCACAGAAGAAGATGGAGGATTTTTCTCACTGTAGAAGAAACAGAAAAGTTTTAAAAGTAATTAAAGAATTCAAGAAACACCAAGAGAGTCAGGAACTTACCAAGTAAACATCGAGGACAGATCCATCATCGCGATCCATGTCCACATCCACGGTGCTCTGCTCCGACGTGAGACAGATAGCGCTGTCCTCCAGCGTGAAGGTAGAGCTGGACGCAACGTCGTCTCTGGAGCGGGATGAGACATTCACACGTGAGCTTTCACACAGCCGCCGTCTGGGTCTAAAGCAGTAAAAGTGAGACAGCTGTCCAAACAGACCCTGAGAGGACAGAGCAGGAGGGGGAATCCTGTCTGGAGGACGGATGATGCTCAGAAAGGAAAGAAAACTTCCGCTAGGCTGGTGGGATTTATTTTATCCGCAATAAAAACAATTCCGGTTTCAGCCTGGGGCAGAGACGGCTACCCTTCTGCGATATTTGTGATGAGGCGTGACTGAATCGTTCATAAAACAGTGCAGAATAAAATTAAACACCAAATGTTTGTGTCTTTTACCGATTCAACCACCAGGTGGCGGCAAAGACACTTTCTGCACATCAGGCGACTTCCTGATAAATCAGGAATGTTTTGTGACATTTTCATGACATTTGAGTTTTAGTCCAGTCAACAAGAATTCCAGGTGAAAAACATGAAATCCTTGTGTGGAAAAGCATGAAAGGATAAATTTAAACGACTAAAACCAACAGCATGAGATGCTGACCCGTCTCGACCTGTTTTTTTTTCTTCTTCCACACAGTCTTTAGTCATGCGACAGTGCCAAGTAAGACTGTTGTTTAAATATTGAAGGAATCAGGTGAGAGGAACAATGTCAGGGCAGCGGCAGGTGACTGATGGGAGGGACGGGAGCGGGCAGGTCGCACAAAGGAAACAGCCAGAGGAGAGGAAGTGCTGGACAGGTGGAGAGCTTCTAGGAAGGAGGAAATTAAAGTGTCTGCTGCCAAAAGGTGAGGTCTGAAGGAAACCTGAAGCAGGTGCAATAAAATCTATCATTTATAACCCGATTTCACATCATTATAGAAATTAGAAACTTGCAATAATTAGTTTCAAGTGTTTTATGAGCTGTAATTAGACAAAAGCAGGTCGTTTCTGGAACTTTCGGTTTAAAACATATTCCTACCATCACGTGACTATCTCCTTGACGATCCTGTTGTGTGTGTGTGTGTGTGCGCGCGTGTGTGTGCGTGTGTGTGTCTACTGAACATTTATCTATGTCAATGTCAGAGCACAAGCGACACTAATGAGGAAGTGTTTGTGTTGGGCGTGGTCTTTTCCATTTGTTTACCAACCTTGCATCATACTTTTATAGTCACACACATTTCTACAGGTCATCTGATGGAGGTGAAGATGAGGGACGTGTACCTGTCTTCTGTTCGGTTGTCTACGTTTACAAATATGGAGGAGGTGGAGATGGTTCCCACGGAGGAGCCCTCGAAGAAGGACGGGTTGGCAGAAATCCGATCTGGGCGCAGGTATGAATCTGACATCACTGATGAAGAAAAAAAACATGCGCTATGTGTTACAGTTTTAATTTGTGTTTATGATCAGAAATCCTTCTGAGGAAGTTTCCCGTTGGGCAACCTTTGCTAAAAATGACTGTTGGACGAGAAGAGGATGAACTGATTTCCAAATATCCAAAGATTAGAGACAAAAGAGTGCCAAAGTATGCAAATATGTAGGCACCACAGAAGAAATTAAGCTCACAAATCAGTAGCAACAATGCATGAAAACCCCGATGTGCTTATTCATGAGGTCTGACGAGAAAAGGTCAAGTGGTGCAGATTTTAAATCCTCCTTTAACCTCCGAGATTTACTGGGAAAAATGAACAAACCAATAAAACATGTATAAAATAAAGAGATATTTGACTAAATATGCTGAAGGTTCTCAGTCATCCAGGTCATGGTAATCCAAAAGGGCTTTGAATGAATGCAACTGGACTTCTTTGGTCTCGTGAAGATGTTTTGCTTCTCATTCAAGGAGCTTTGTTAATTCTGTTAATTGGAGGGCCAAACTTTTAAACTGTAGCTGTCTATTGTTGCTTAACGAGCAGAAACTACCAACGAATACCCCTTCTATAAATACCCAGAATTGACAAAGCTTTGATTAGACTCCAATACAAACTCCAAAAAGGAGAGGTCCGCATGTTCCTGCGTGTAGCTTCCACTGTTGCTAATGTTGCTAATTCTACTCCCGTAACTAGCTGTTTGCGTCAATCCCTGGGTGTATTTTCATTGGTCGATTGCAGACGGGAGTCACAGGTTTACAAGCAGTGATTTAAGACTGTTGGAGGCAGACTTTGGTCGAGAGGGTGCTGAAAAAGCTGTCGCAGAGCCGGTCACACTGGACGGCCACAGAATTGCAAATCACGTTCACGTTCACCGTTTTTTTTTTGGTCACGATTCTGTTCACAACCTTAGACCACTCCCAACCCAAGTTTCAGAACTGAAGAAGCTTCTTTGAATGAGAGCCTAAACGTCTTCGTGCCCTGAATGACTGAGAATCTACAGAAAGGTGTGTTAACTAACTTCCTGCACCACTCCCACGTTTCTCCTGCAGGGGACAACTCTATTCTGACCCAACACAAAGGTCAGATCCAGCTTCCACCCTTCGATTCATCCAGCCTCTCCCTGTTCTGAGGTCAGATTATTATCACAAGGATTAAGAAAAAGAGATCAGCTTTACACACACACAAATACAGTATCTGAGGGGATTCAATTACCCAGGTAGGCTCTGTTTTCTTTCCATTAGGGCCAAACAATATCAGTCAGTGACAGCTGGTCTCAGATCAGCGCTGAAGGGACACAGTTTTTATAGCTGAATAAAAGTGGATGTTTCATTAGCTTCAAGTGTCTGTCTTTTATTTTCATGTTTTACGTTTGTTGTGACATAACTGTGTCGGGGGACCTGCTTCGGGGGAAAACGTCACATGATGTTGCTTTCTTTACCTTGTCCATCCAAACTGGCCAGGCTCCGAGCTCCCCCCAGTCTGTCCCGCCTGTCCTCCCCGTGCCTCTCATCAGCCTGCGATGAAAGGATCTCCTGTGAGGAAGACTTCAGAGCGTGGATGGAAGTGCGAGTCCTCTTTGAAGGGGAGAATCGAAATGCTGCAGAACAGGAAAAAGAAGTTTAAGAAGATTTAAAGATTTAAGTAGCCAGAAGAGGGAGATAACTGGGGAGACGTGTGGGAAACTAGACTCCTAGAATAGGTGATAAACTGTTAAAAAGAAAAAGTTTTCACATGAGCTGAGCTCAAAAGTCCAGAAATAGAACTGCTAATCACAGCAGACGATCATAAGCATGAAGAGAAGTTTAACGTTTCCACACACTGGTGTCCTCATCGGGCCAGGATTTCCTGCTGCCCACTCCTCCCCCCTCGGCTTTCACCCTTTTACACCAAACACACACGTGACTCACGCTGGTTCTTCCTGAAGACCCGGGTGCTCAGGAACTTTAGGAAGCGGCTGGCGTAGAACCCAGGCCGGTGGACCGAGACGGAGTCCTGGGGACAAACGTTGGGAGTCAGAGGATGTGGGAGGATAAAAAGCTCATTCATGAAAGCAGCAGAGCTATCCACTTACTCCATCGTACACCAGGGCTTTCCACGAGTGTTCCAACTTTTTAATGAATCTGAGGAGATGCAAAACAGGAAGAGATGATCACAAACGTGATTTGACATCTTGGCTAAGTGTTTAATCAGCCAACATGTAAGGTGTTTCTCTGCAAGAGGCCATTCTCTAGAAGTAAAGCAGCGGAACAACAACAGGAACTATTTATCCTTCCTGCTCCTGTTTTTCAGCCTGGCAAAAGTTCATGTCATCGTAGGACAAAAAAAAAAATCAATAAAATAGAGAAGATAGATGAGCTATCGAGGTCCTTCAGCTTAATCTGATGATCTAGAAATGTGTTGTGTCTCTTTTCTTCATCTAGGACAATAATTCAGCCAAAGAGCTCCTGCTGAGGATGAGCATGTACCAGAGAGGCTTTTAGGTCATGTTGTGACCTGATCCTTTAAGAAACAACTCACATCACAACATAGGATTTCACTAAGATGAGTACCTGTACGACTGCAGGATGTCTATGATCCCCAAGTAAATGAGCAGCTTTTCATCTTTGTGCGTTTTTGCCGGGATGCCGCCCATCCTGCAACAGAGCGTCAGCAACGGTGAGAAAACAGCTGCTGTCCTCCTGCAAGGCTTCAAACGCCGTTCAGATACGGCCTCGCTAGTTTTTAACAAGTGTTTGCAAAAGGGACTCGTACACTATTTACATTCATGTGTGTGGCTGTAAACATGCAGAACAGTGAGTGTTTGTGTAGCTATGGTTATGTGAGGGACAGGCTGTGCTGCCGTGCCCTGGGCGAGGTTTGAACACGGTTGTATAACAGTCTGTGAGAGAAAAAGACCCAGACAGAGGGCTCAAATATGTGTTCATAATGCCGCATGTGTGTGTGCGTGTGTGTGTGTTTGTTTCACCCCTGCGAGAACAAACTCACGTGTCGTCAGTGGTAACAGCCTCTGCAGCCTTGCCGTCTCCTTGAATAGACTCCATGGCGGTGGAGTAAAGCACCCTCTGACCTACAGGTCTCCTGCCGTCTCCCCCGGCTTGGCCCAACTCACCCCCCTCCCTGTGATCCAGGACGTGCACTCCCAGCAGCAGGCTGTAGTCCATGATCTTAAAACTTTCCAGCACCTATTGCAAGAAAATGATGAGGTTTTAACAAAAAGCTTTTCATGAGCTATCACAGTACGCTTTAAACACACAAAAAGGCCCACATGTTTATTTTTCTTCCCCTGAAACACTTCCATCACCTCCGCACATTTCAGTGGAAGAAAAGAGGTGAACATGTAGGACATCTCTGTTTAAACCAGCTGAGCTGAACAAACAAGGTGTTTCTCCACAGTGAGCCAAGTGTCCACGTCTGAGGAGCTTATCGCCCAGTTTCCCAGAGACTCGAGTGATTACACGTCTCCCTAGTTCTCAAGAAAAGCTGTCTTACGGCGAGGAATGGGATCAGGGTCAAACCCACGTAGTTGGGTCTGGCTTGTGACCCAGACTGCAAGGACAGAATGTTTGCTGTAGTTATCACAGCATGTAAGCTGTCCTGGACCAACAGCAGCATTTCCCTGACAACATGAGTCCAGCAGCACCTGCATCTTCAGCAGCTGAGGAAGGGGCACCTCCCCTGCTGTTTCTGTAGGACCAGCAGCATTGTTGAGGACCCCTACCACAAACTGTTCACCCCCCCCCCCCCCCCATCTGGTTGATGACAGCATCAGGAACAGATCTTGTCTTGGGAGTCTTATGATATGTGGACATCTCGCCTCTGATTGGCTAACAGCAACACGACTCTACCACTGACTGTTTGCTCTGCAGCGTTGATGTTTTATCTCCACATATAACTCGAGTCTGGAGGAGTTCTGCTGTGAGGTGGAGCTGTTAATGCTAAGCTTCTACTAGCAAAGACGTTCTCAGCCGTTTCCTGGACGCTAAACTAACAACAGCCTTCCCCGTCGTGAGCCAAGATGGGCGAGTCCATGAACGTTAAGCGACAGAGTGATGTAGATCTGTCAGGGTTTTCTAATTCTAGAGTTTCACCATCTATTTTCTATCAGAAGCTACTGCAGGGGATAGGTGTAGGAGACTATTTTCATGTTCAGCCTGCATGAAAAACTCGGAGTGACTGATAATATTTTAAAACATCAAGTAAAACATGTTTTCTCAGTGAAAGTGGCCTTTAGGTGAAGCATTAGACATATTTCCACATATATACGTTGACAAGTTTTACCCTCACTGATTAAATAAGAGTATTTATTAATCTGCATTAGCCAAGTGGCATTAAAAATGGTGTAGAATTAGTCTCTGCATTCCAGCCTCCGTATGAACAAACTCTTGAGCTGAAAAGTTGACGAGAGGGTTTGAGAAGAGGTCAACTCTGGTACCGTAAACACAAGACAGACATAACGACTGGCTTAAAGACAGACTGACTCAGATAACACACAGAGCCTTTTGTCAGCGCTTTGGCTTTTCCATATCAACTATTTGCATCCCCTCACCAGAACTCCCCCATCCTATTCAAACAGCAGCCATGTTGAATAGAGCCTCACACACCGCCCTGCCCACAGAAAGCCATTACTGTGTGTCCGGGCCTCAACTTTCCCCAGAAAACAATTACACCACCACAACCCCTGCTGGCATCTGACGTTATTTTGTGAGAGGGTTACCATTGTGTTTCTGAATCAAAGGGTAAAGTTACCAATCATGACACTACGGGGATTTGGGCTTCAACTTTTAGGACAACTCTGCTTTCTTTTCAAACAAAGCTCAGTTTTCTTACAGTAAAAAGGCAGAAAAATAATTCTAAGCTTCTCCAAATGTCTGTTGCACCTCAGCAGATCCTCGCCCTGAAGCACTTCAGTCCGTCTCTGTGTCGGTAGTGATGGATTCTCCCGTTCAAACAACGATAAGGTGAAAAACTGTTTCTGAAGTGTGTGTACCTCTTTGAACAGCTTGATATCATCGGAACATCATCCTAACGTTCGCTTCACTTTAATGCAATAGCTCCAAATCACACATGGCTGCTACCGACACGCACACATCCGGCAATAAACCTTCTGTGTTTCGATTTCTCTGTGTTCAACATTCATTATTAATGCCTAATGCTGTTTTGGCATTTGTGGAGTATCAGGGGAGCTGCAGAGGGAGGGAGGGAGACTTAAAAGGAACAGGGCACAGCCTGTGATTTCCTAGAAGTGTCCCATGCAGCAGGAATGTGATTCTTCTAATCTTACAATCATCCTCCTGGGTTCAGCTGAACTCTGACCCGCTTGAATTCTCTCTACAATTGAGCCAAAACTGACACTTCTGCAGAAAAAGTACCTTTTCCCGTCCCTCCTCTCTGATCCCCTGTTGCTCAGCTTCCCCCGTGTTTTGAATCCCTCCTGGGGGTGAAGGGGTCAGCTGCTAACTCATGAAAATGCAGAGATTATGCTTAGAGGGCACTTTGCTTCCTGCTTCTGAAGCGAGCGCAGGAAGCTCTGACAACAACAAACTATAGAGCGCTGACGCTCCAACAGCTGCTGCTGAACACAAATACAACATCAGATACTTTATGCATACAGTTGTATGGAAGCCCATTCCCGCCACTCAGATAAAAAAAAAAAAAAATATATATATATATATATATATATTATCTCATAGTTATGACTTAGCTATCTCATAATAATGAGATAGTAGCTCATTATTATGAGATAGCTAAGTCATAATTATGAGATTTTTTTTTTTCAATCTGAGTGGCGGGAATGGGCTTCCATACAACTGTGACTCTCACACAGAACATGGACGGTTTAGGAAAAGCTTGTGCACTGCCAGGTTAAACACTGAGGAAGTAAGGACTTTGCAAAAGTGGAGGATGTCCTTCTGGCTGAGGTCCGCTTAAGAAAACATTACAAAGAATCCGGGGAACATAGAGAAAGTCAGCGTTTTAGTTCATGATAATAAGAAAGAGGCAAATTTTAATCTGAATTTAGGTTGATCTAAATTTTATCCAACTTCACATGATCTAAGAAAAGCTTCTAAAAGAGTCTGACTCAAAAGGTGAGAAAGCAACAGCTGTTCACATGTTTACAGCTGAATCATTCACCTAAAGTCTAAAATAAACCCGGTCGCTTTAAATGAAATAACCAGACAATCAGATTAGTTTCATAACAGATCTAACTAAATTAATCTGCTGTTCATTACCTCTAATTTAGGCCACTCATGGCTTTTTATTTCCTTACCCTAAAATGTGGAAGATAACATTTCTTCTTATGGGAGTCATTTAACTGTTTCCTGTACTTGATATCGGGTCCAAAAGGTTAGTCCAGTCTAGGAACCACGCCAAAATGTCTTCCTTTACAACTTCTGGAGTTAATGTTGCTTTCTTCCCTCATGAGTGAGGGAAAGCTGGAGCAGGTAGACGGGTTGGTGCTGCATCTGCAGTGAAACGGCATTGTGCTGGTCTGTTGAGGTGAAGAGAGCTGAGTCAGAAGGCGAAGCTCTCAATTTACCGGTCGATCTACGTTCCTACCCTCACCTATGGTCACGAGCTTTGGGTAGTGACTGAAAGAATGAGATGGTGGATACAAGCGGCCAAAATGAGTTTCTCCGCAGGGCGGCTGAGCTCTCCCTTAGAGATAGGGTGAGAAGCGCGGTCATCCGGGAGGGGCTCGGAGTAGACCCGCTGCTCCTCCACATCGAGAGGAGCCAGTTGAGGTGGCTCAAGCATCTAGTTTGGATGCTTCCTGAACGCCTCTCTGGGGAAGTTTTCCGGGCACGTCCAACCAGGAGGAGAGCCAAGAGAAGACCCAGGACACACTGGAGGAACTAAGTCTCTCAACTGGTGATGGAACGCCTTGGGATTCCCCAGGAGGAGCTGGTCCATGTGGCTGTGGAGAGGGTAGTCTCTCTCTCTGCTTAGGCTGCCGACCCCGCGATCCGACCCTGAACAAGTGGCTGAAGATGGATGGAATTGAAATCTGTTGGTCCGAATTTCCAGTTTAAAATGGAATCACTGGATTTAAATTATGTTTAAAAAATGCTGAAAGTTGTAAGTTTCCATTAATATTAGTTTAACTGTCAGGAAATCGTTTTTGAAGTTTCAGAAAAATAACCAAACGCCTGAGCAAAGTTCTTATGAAACCAATCAGCCTTGAGTTGTTTTTTTTTTTTGTTTTTTTTTTACATAACACTGAGTTTTCTGTCATCAGCAGCATGAAAAGTCTAATAATTACTGTTCAGAGAGCAGCCCTGCAGACTTCTGTGAAGCCATGGAGCTTTTCTCTTCAAAAAAATTGTTTTTAAAACATTTTAAATATTTTGGATTACTAAATAACAAGAACCTAACCCTGCAGTGGTGTGCATTTCTGCTGGTAACTTTTTTAATTACCTACAAAAATGAATGGTCAATGACACGGTTTCAGCAGCACGTAATTCTGAGAGCTAATCTGCTACAATAGCTAATGTCACATGTTCCTTCCACGAGTGTTTTCTTCCTCAGAGGTCAAAAGTTTTTTATCAGGCTTTAAGGTTAAAGGAAAGTCTTATTTACTTTGACAGAAATCTAAACAAGCTCCGTGGTTCTGGACGTACCCGACAGTCTCTCTGCAGGGTCTTCATTATGTTGTTGAAGGTCTCCGTGTCGAAGTGGAGCCCCTCCTCGTGCATGTCCTGGAAGTCCAGGTCTTTGTAGGTCGGACAGGATTTCTCCCTCTCCTTCCTGGATGCTCGCCTCTTGTAGGTGGAGCCCTTCAGATCGTACTTGTAGTGCATTTTGACCGAGCGAGGCAGAACGTTGTTCATTACCACCAGTCGGATGTTGATGCCACCAGACTGGATGCAATACAGGCCGTAAAACTTTGGCAGAAGCGTGCGCGGGTTCTGGTTCAGGTTCTGTGGATTAAAAGAAACATTTAAAAAAACCACAGTGCCCTGGTGCATGCATGAGTGTATGCAGATAAAGTGCACATTTAAACATGAGGCTAATAAAATGCGAGTTTGCAAGGGCTCATAATTTTCTTACAGGGCCTTGCTCTTGTAGCGTAAAGTTGATTCCTTGTAAGATTAAAAGCAGATAGGCGTCTGAAACCCGTCTCGGTTTAGTTTTGTTCAATCAGAAACATCAGAATTATGAGACAGCTTTGGAAGGAGGTGGCAACTAACTTGCAAATAATACGAAGATGAATTACAGACACAGGGTATCTGCAGGTTTAAGGGAGACAAATTTAAGACTTTTTAAGACCTTTTTAAGGCCACTTTGACCAAATTCAAGCTATTTTTTAAAATTTAATTTAAACTATAATTTCCAGCTATTGCCTGGAACCGGTGCTAACCACGTTGCGAACGTGGGAATAGCCACCCAGTTACCATAAAAGTTGCACGTCCCCATGGCGCAATCTCCCACTAGCTTAAACAGCTAATGTGCTAATCTAAAAAAGCCCCCTTTCACAACCAACTGAATGTGTATGGTTCCGCTTACGCCAACATCACACACAAAAAATGCTGAACACTAACTAGAAATTCATGAAAATTGAAATAAAATAATCTTGTTTATTGGGTCTTTGGTAATTTAAGACCTTTAGAAACTGTATTTAAGGATTATTAGTAATTTTTAAGGATTTTTAAGGCCTTAAATTTGGAAAAGCAAATTTAAGACTTTTTAAGACTTTTTAAGGACCCGCGGATACCCTGCAGACAAGTCGAGACATTTTCAGACTAAACTGCAACAAGATATTTGGAATGAATGCTGTGCAAGTGTCATAACATTGATGTCAAACGTCACATCAGACTCACAAGGATCTCCGCAGACTCTGCAGGCTCCATCAGCTATAAACATCCAACATGTCCAACATTTGTGAACACATTTTCTATTGTTTTCTTTTAAAAAGTAAGAAATTCAAACTGTTATGATTTAATTCAGCCACACTTTCTGCAGAATTCACTTCACAAACATCTTCTGCACAATGGTACAGGAATCTATTATTTTGATAGCTTTCTGGATTAAACCCAGCTTGTTGCATCATTAAAACACACAGTATAAATAACAGGAGGCACCGTCTCTCACCATGTAGTAACCAGGCAGCAGCCGCTGCAGAAACTTGGCCTCTTTGTGCTGCACGGTTTTAATGATGAACTCATCGTCGCTGGTTAGGTAAAAGAGAGAGCCGCTGGCACCCGGGTTGGTCAGCTCGATCAGAGGCTCGTTTACGAGGGAGTACTGGGGAAGGAAAATTCACAAACAAAAGCAGTTTAATGCTCCTCAGAGGACAGGCTTCTGGAAAGCAGCTTCATCTGCAAACATAATCAAACAAAAGCACCTTTAAATGCTGAAACATGCAAAAAATGATAACATTATAAAAGTTTATAGGGACTGAATCAAACAAGTCTGATTGTTTATCAGAGATCAGCAGTAAATCTTTACTGAGCTGCTCCACGTTAATGCTGCAATTATCAAACATTAATGGTACCTCTGGACTTTTGAGCCTTGCAGCAAACATCTGCTGCAAGATCTGCAGTCACAATCACTGCTGCAGTTTATTAAAGGTGTGTGTGTGTGCGAGTGTGTGCGCAGTTTCTATGTTTTAATTGCCGAGTGGCCTTCATCACCACCTCAGGCGTATCAGTCAGTAGCTAACGCCGCTAATGAAATCCTCGCTTAGCTGCCTCGAAGTTACTTTTTGTTTTAGTCTTCTGTCACTTGTGCAGCAGAAGCAAACGTGGCTTTCAAAAACAAGATTACAGCTGGCGGTTTATGAAAGGCTAAGGGGGGAGGAGCAGATGGGAAAACGGAGTCATAACAGGATGAAGTCATAACAATATCAATACAAAATCTAATTTTGCTTCGAGAACAATGAATAAAGAAGAGCTAAAATAAAGTTGTGAACCCTGAAGAGCATTTCTTCATTTTTGCAGATTAAATTATTTTTACATTAAACATAAGTGGATCAAGAAAACCAAATTAAGCAAAAGTGGAAAAAAAGAAACTTTTTAATGATTTTCCAGAGAAAGTTATTAATCGAGTTAAATGTTGTAGTTTATTAGCCTGGCATAGATTTGAAGCTCATAAAGAGAGTTAAACTCAATGAATCATAAGAGTTCTGGCTCCACCAGAAAAGAGTCAAACAGGAATTAAATTCTAGACCACCTTAATCCACCATGAGTGGTTGATCAGTAAAGATTACTTCAAAATAAAAGCGTGTAGTAGTTCTACGGATCACCAAAAAGCCCTGGGTAAAGCCTTTTCTGTCATGGTTAATATCAATAATCATGACTCCACCGTGGAGACTTATTTTTGCTGAAACGGCAAATTTGGAGAACAAATTGGCTTAAAACATTTTTTTCAAGCCTCTTAAAAATGTTCCAACAAAGTATAGCTATAAATATACTCTGGAGATTTAAAAAATGGAAAAAAATGAATAAAGTAGTTCTCTTGCATTTGCCTAAAACCCCCATCAACAACACAACTTTATCTAGCAACAGAACACCACTGGTGTGAGAAGATCTCCGCTCAATTATACCAGAGAAGGAGAAACAGACGGCTGCTACCACTTATAATTTAGGAAAAACTACCAGAGTCCCAAAAAGAAAACACCATTTGAAGTCACGGACAACAAAAGACATTTGGACCTAGAAAACTGCAACTGGTGTTTAGCGCCATCTCGTTTCCTCTGGCAATGTGGGTTTCTCGATTCGGTGGATGCGGATCCAGGGAAGATACCCGAGGGGAGGGGTAAGTGTTCCTCGACCATGTTTGCTTTCAAAACCTAGCTTGTTTGCAGATTCGCCATAACATCTTTAATAATAAATGATAGAGATTAGAATAATAAAAAAATAAAAGCCCGACCCAACTATAAAACACAACAGTGGCCGTTTCATGGTTTGGGTTGTGATCTGCTACACCTTTAGTTTTTCATGGAAAATGCCATTCTGAATTAAGCCCTAAAGGAAAATTCCAGAACATGTCAGCACTAAGGTTCGTCATTAGTGAGAGTCTACAAAACTAAAATAGCTCATCAGAGTAAATCAAGCCCAAACATGCAAGTTATTTAGCCACAAAAAAGGTTTAAAAAATAACTACTTTGAAAGATTCAAACCCTAAAAGTGTTGTGACAAGACCTAAAGACTGTAAATTTTTTTAATATATATATATATATATATATATATATATATATATATATATATATATATATATATATATATAATTATTATTATTATTATTATAAAAGGCTCAGGTTTAAAACCAAAATTCAGTACATGTAAAAATGTTTGGACTACACCTGATTGTATCATTTGGAGAAACCGCACTCCTACAGATGCATAACAATTATCTGATTTCATTTGGCGTTGTGCTGATGGGAACAGTTCTCCACGAGTCAACATAATAAGGGAAGAGGGAGTTTCCCAGCCGAAACAGGAGACTTGTCAAATATGGCCAACGTGAAGAGAATGTGCGTGCGTGCGTGCGTGTGTTTCAACAGCAGAGTTAAATGATAAAATTGACAGGATGTTGGCAGGAACAAAATATCACAGGTGTCCGGTGAATTCTAAGTTACATCAGCTAAGGATCTTGGCAGAGTCTGGAAAACAGACAAAATAATAAAATGACAAAACGGATTCCTAAAGTGATGAGAACATTACAGCCGTACAACATTTTTAAAGGTTCTCCTAAATTAACAGGTGGATTTGTATTTTGTATCTCCATCAGTACCCTACAGATGAATGATGCGTTGCAAAACAGGTGGAGAGAATCCGAGCTGCATTCAAGTACTGAATCAGGAGTGGAGATTGGATGCACGCGGAGGAAATAACGCCATGCTCTTACAAGGTAGTCGTCGGGTTTGATGCCAAACAGATCTCTGAAGTAGCGGAAGGCCAGGGGGGCGTAGGTCTTGAAGCGGAAGTCAGGGTAGTGATGAGCTGGGGTCAAGTTGCTCCCCTCACTGGAACAGGTGATGAAAACAAACAGCATCAGAAAAGTTGCATAAAAGCCTGCAGTGGATGGGTCTGTGGAAACCTAGATTCACCAGAATGAGGCTAACAAAAAAATAACAATAATAATACAGTGTAGAGTTCCGGGACTAAAACGGTCTCTGATTTCTAAATCTGAACAATAATCAACAACACATGAGCCACTTCTTTATTCCACAGATCAGAATCAGTAAAAAAACACAATAACCTAGATTCTGTAGTCTGGTCTGAACAAAGGAATGTTCTTAGGAATGACCTGACAAAGGCTGACCCTGTTTAGTAACTAAGCGGACTTTCAAAAACACAACAAATTCATTTGCTAAAAAAAACTCAATGGAATTTGTGTTTCCAGTCCTAAAAGTAGAAGTAGGTTAATAAAGATTTGTTTATTTGGGGTAAGTTCAAATCTGCAGATACCATCGTTGTTGTTGTGGCTGCAGACGCAACGACTTGACCCTGCTGTGCAACGTAATACATGTGACCACAGTGAAAAGTCCACGTTTTGTTTCTGAGCGACAACGTTTACCTGACACACACCAGAGGAAGTGGAAGTAGTTCGTATGAATGAATGCACGGAGAAATTTAAAGAAACAACAAGTGGGTGTTTGGAAACTAGACCGATAGGACAAACGGCAGCAGACTGAATTAAAAACCTGCAGCGAACAACAAAAGGAAGAAAACGTGTCAGGACAGTCTTCCCAGAAAAGAACGTTTTTGTTTTGTGGTTGTACAAGACAGAAATACTCGGATAAGAATAAGCATGAGGCGATTACGATTGTGATAAAAGATGCTAACATTTAGTTTCCCTCCCAGCTGATCCTGTTTCACTCGTGTGTTCTTTTTTTCTTTATCTTTTGGCTCAGAGACAGCCACAGCTTTTAATAAACTCAAACGTGATTTAGACAAAACCACTGTATGTTCTAGCATTTGGACCGTGCTGGGGCAGCTAGCTGATGCTCTTCACAGCGAGGTTATGCAAAAACATGAGACATGTTTGGCTGTTGCCGAGAAGCAGGACAATGAAAGGTCAGTGTGCACGCCAAGAACAAGTTTGCATAAACCATACAGAGTTTACATATCCTAGTGCCGCATCTCAAAAGGTAAACCACAAACTGTTTCCGGGCAGGACTCAATTTCTCTTCCTGAAACCAGAGACGTAAGGAAAATATTCGGATTTGGCGGATTAAACCACAAGAGAAAAAGGCTAAAGGTGACCCGATTTTGTTATAATTTACCGTCTTAACAGTATCTTGACTATAAATCACTTTGGTCAAGTTTAAAAAGAAATAAAGTTTTTTTTTTTACTTTTGTTTGAGAATTCTAACTATTTGACAAATAAAAGATAAATATACAGGAGGTTCGTGGGCCTTAGCTAGTGGCTATTTGAAGGGAGGATTTGCTTTTAGATCATAATAAATAAATAAGTAATAAACTAGAATTTGATTCAAGGGAACAATGAAGAAATGAAAAGAATAGACATTAAAATAATTGTCTGAAAAATACATTTAAAAATGAAAGAAAGACATTTTTCTGAAAACATGCAGTTAAATGGTAACAATAGCTGGCAAACTATTAATTAAACATACATAAATATATACATGATAATTTATAAACTAATACTTCTTAAAGATAAAAAAAAAGCTAAATGAAGTGAATAAATGAGAGAAAATGAAATCTCAGCAGAATAGTTATGATAAAATATTTACAAAACACAGATGTTTTATCTATGTAAATAATTAAAATATTATAGTTAAAGTAATTTCAAGGTGTGGTTGACTGAAAACCTTACTGATTATTTCTGATTTTAGTCGGCCATGTAGGCTTAACATGAAAACAGTCCTCTACACATATCTCCTGCGTTAGCTTCTGATAGAAATCAGATGGTGAAATGCTAGGATTTAAAAATCCTTACATATTTATGTCACACTGTGAATTTGCATTCATGGCCACGCCCATTTTGGCTCACATCCGCACACAGGAAAACTTTTAAAATATTTGTTTTTTTCTCCCAGAGAGGTGAGTGTCTTGGTGATGGTGACTTGGCGACATGGCTGAACACCTTCTGTTAGCCAATCAGAAGCAAAGTATGTGCATATCATTAATATTAATGAGCAATCCAGCTGTTTTCAGCCCACCTCTGCACCAGCAAACTTCTAATGACTCATAAGGTACTGATTTACACTAGAGAAAACTACAAATGTATTTAATAAACGAGTAAACCACACCTTTAAAGCAAAATAAAAAAAATGTTTTACTATAAGAGCCACTTGGTGAAGAGTGCTGTTTCACATGTGTTAAAAATCCAGACACAGGCTGTGTCAGAGCAGCAGCTGTGTGTTTATAGACGTGTGAAGGCATAAGTTAGACTTTCATAGGATTCCTGGGCCAGCTTTAGATTATATAAAGTGTTTCCTTAAGCTGATGATGTGAAGACGGTTTGAGAAGATGCCCCGCTGATGTACGCTGTGTGCTGCAGCAGCAAGAGGTTCTCAATAAGCTGATTTCACTGCAGGGATAATCCACCAGAGTCGTTACATCTCAGGATCGTGACTCAGACCGGCAAAACTGACTTTTTAATTTTTCTTTATTTAAATAAATGATGATGGAGGTAATTTACAGAAGTGTCATCATTTCCTTTACACTGCAGCTGCCTCGAGCACAAAATGATTAGTTCTTTTTATGGTTTTTAACATGGATAATCACACACAGCAGCAAAGCCACGTGTTACCACCCACATGTGTTTATGAAGCAGCTCTCCGATTCAACAACCTCCTGCAGGTGAATAAGCTTGAGATCATGTCAAACTTTGATCTGTACCCGTGTGCAGCACCGACCTGGGCAGAAAGACGCTCTCCACCACATAGAAGTCCTGCATAAGCACATCTCTGTCCGGCTTTGAGGTCAGGTTTCCCACCGTGTAGCCGATCCCGAGCTGAATGGCTCCTTTTAGGGCCGACGACGTGGTCTTGACGGGAAAATGGAAGAAAAAACACCTCGTTAGCCTCACTGTAGCACACTTTGCTGACATGAAGACTCAGTAAATAACACCAAAATAAAAATAATGCATGTTTTGTTGTTCAGCTGTAAGGCCACAAAAGCACATCCATTTGAAAATAGATCCTCCAAGCTGGAAAACAAATATTACAATATTCCTGGAACAAAGGTTCCTTCTGTGCTGCATAAAGACTTAGAGCAACACGTTTACGACGTGCTGCCATCAGCCCAGGTTTAAATAAAAACAACAACAAAAAAACACACAAGGCACTCAGCTGACCTCTGACAGCTCACTCTAACAGAACATTATGTTCTGTAGCACAAGGACATTTTAACAGCTCAAGCCACTCAGAGAGGGAAAGTCATTTCAGACAGAAGCATTTCAAAATAAAAGTATGATAAAATCAAGTCCAGAACAACAAAATGATTCCCTTTTTTTACCTTCTTGTATGTTTTCTCTCTGCCCCGAGGTCCTCCCATTCCATTTTCAGTTGTGGTTGACATCTAAGAACAAAGAAAAAAAACCAATGAATAAAATATGAAACTCCATGTTTCAATAGATGACATGTGAGGTGAGACTTACCGTGGTTATGATGATACTGATGTTGCTGGATGAACAGCAGTCAGGGCAACTCCTCTGAGTTTTTAGATTGAGCAATCATCAGGGAAGCCTCTACAGGAGGAAGACAGCTCAAATAGTCACTATTATTAAAAAAAACAACATCAATGAAACACCAATAGATTCTGCTTCACAGAGAGCAAACCTACTTCAAAGTACAGATCTGATGGGACTGAAATGCCTTCTCTACTGTTAATTGCTGCCTGAGATTTCTGCCAAAAGCAACTCCTGACTCCTGAAAGGATTGTAATAACTGTCAAATATCTGGTTAGAGTTTTGTTCTGGAGCAGAACAACTACCCTGCTCTCCACAAATGAGCAAGGAAACAAGAGGGTTTAAAAGTGCTGCAAAGCCTCAAAGTTGTTCCTAAACCACTAAACTCCGGCAGACGTGGGTTTTGGTCCTCCGCCCAACTGTTTCCCCGGGAAACTGAGTGACATAAGTCTGAGACGCTTTGATTCAGGCTTTCGGGCCAAAATGGGGTCAAAGACGGGGAAGTGAAAGCTCAAAGGGATCAGAGTTTTGCACCAGCTGCATAAGAACGTACCTGCAGGCCCCAGAACCTTGAATGTTTTTCTGCTTCGTCAGCGCTTGTGCCGCCTCGTCCTCCCATCAACTGTTGTGTGACCAGCTCTCACGCCGACTTCACACTCACACACACACGCTAAAAGTGTGTGTGACATTCACCTCTGTTTGACTTTTACAGAAAACGCAACCATCTGACGCGCCATTCCTCTTTTTTTTTTTTTACATTTGCAACTAAGCAAGCTGGCTTTCAGCTTGCTTCCCACATCAAACCTTCTGTCAGGAATCTTGGCGTGACCTTTGACCCAGCTCTCACCCTGGATTCTCATGTCAGTTCTCTTGTTCGCTCTTCCTTCTTCCATCTCAGGAACGTTGCTAAGCTGAGTCCCATTCTGTCCCGCTCTGAACTTGAGACTGTTATCCACTCCTTCATCTCCTCACGCTTAGACTACCGTAACTCTCTTTTCACGTGTCTGAGCAGAACCTCCCTGAACCGTCTACAGGTGGTTCAGAATGCCTGTGCTCGGCTTCTGACCAAGTCCTCCAAACACACCTACATCACCCCGCTTCTCCTCCAGCTTCACTGGCTGCCAGTCAACTTCAGGGTTCATTTCAAGATCCTGGTTCTGGTCTATAGGGCCTTACATGGACAAGCACCATCTTACATTGGTGATCTTCTTCCCTACACCCCCAGCAGGTCCCTGAGGTCCAGTGATCAAAGCCTACTGGTTGTGCAGCGCACCAGACTAAAGACCAAAGGTGACAGATCATTTGCTGCTGTGGCCCCCAGACTCTGGAACTCTCTCCCCCTGAGCCTGAGATCAGTGGACTCAGTGGTCTCCTTTAAAAAGCAGCTGAAGACTCACTTGTTCAAGCTGGCTTTTGTATGACCTTCTTCACCACTCTCTCTTTATTCTGCTCTCCCCACCTATTCCACCTTCCTCAGGATCCACTGATTTCCCTCTTTCCTGTTCACTCTCTCTCTTTCTTAACATTTTTTCTTTTAAATCCCAATTGCCTATTTTTGCTCATTTTAAATATATTTTTAAACATTTTCTAAATGCTTTTTTATATTTTAACATATTTTTTTTGTTTTTGTGAAGCGCCTCGTGATTTTTATCTTGAGAGGCGCTATAGAAATGATATTTTCTTCTTCTTCTTCTTTTTCAAACATTTCCCTCCAGCACCTGGCTATTCTCACATTTATGATTGTTAAGACACTTCACTCTGACTAAAAGACTCAAGTGATTAACCAGAACTTTGTTGAAAACTTGGCAAAAACTCTTCCAACTTATGTCTTTGTGCACGTTTCAACAAGCAGCCTGTCCCATTTCCTTGTTGGAATCTAAAAATACCAAAGAGCGAACTTAAAATAGTGTTTACGCACCAATGGGGTGATTTCTAAAGAATGTTGTTAAATAGGCGATAAGCTGAAGGGTGATGCATCTCGCAGGTCCTGTGTCAGGTTTTCTCCCACACCTTAAAGACGTGACGTCCAGATCCTGTTCATCTGCTATAGATAGCTTTTTTTCCTTTCATTTCCAAGCACACACTGTCCGATAAGCTGTCGTGCTCTGATAGAAAAAACAAAACAAGGGGGGGAAAAAGCTCATTTGGAAGCCATTTTTTAATATGCGAGGTTTAAAACTGCAGCACGGTCAAAAGTTGTCTTCAAACAAGAGAGCTGTGTGAAGTCACGTTGACGTGCTTCAGATAATGAAAGAATGCAGTCGACACAAAGAGGTTTCATCTCCAGACACGGGCCTCTCCTCTAACCCAGCCTCTGTTGCTATAAACACAACAACACATATTTCGTCTCTGTTTGAGATCTTTTCTTCGCTGCTTAACCTTAAATTTGCAGTTTAACCTGAAGGAATGAAAACGTGCTTGAGATTTTGGATTTTGGCCAAACAAAAAGTCACGAGCTGTGTGTCAGCAGAGCCAAATCTGGGTAACGAGGTGCTGATCCACCTGAGCCACCAGCTGAAGAATGTTGATGAGGCTGTCTGGCTCTCAGCTCGACCCTGGCCAGAGTGTCAAAGTGAATTGTGTAGATAGCCAGTCCCCCCCCCCACTGCCCTCCTCCCCTTGCTCACCTGACCCTACAGAACACAGCTTGCGCTCTGACGCGGTTTCTAGAACGGTCCATGAGAGGCCAGCAGCTGCGGTGAACAAGAGCAGCTCCCTCGTTCACCTACACAACAAAGGAAAGGCAGACGGGTGGATGGACGCGCTGATATGAAACAAGCTGATGGATGGGTGATCTTAATCGGCCGCATCTTGCAGTTGTCACACGCTCCCTTAGCAAACGCCACAGGAACATTGGAGAACAAAGAGGAAACGAGGGAACACCAAAGACTTAGGTAACACAATACCTTTAGCCTCCATTTGAGTCAAATCAATGTCTCTCACCACTCACAGGGAGAGCTAAATGGGTGATTCAACTCATCAATAAAAAGGAGTTTACGCTTTGGAGAACCTAAATATGAAAGAAAATTATAATACCTGTAGTATACCTGTCGTGTTTTAGCTCCGTTGCCTGGCTAGGGATACACGTTCGCAAACAAGGGGCGTTACTTCCAGCCGTAATCGTGGAAGTAGGGAGAGGGGCTTGAAGGTGTAATACACGTGTTCTGCCACTAGATGGTGCCTTCTGAGAAAAAAAAACATTTTATTTTTATTTTTTCAGTGGCCCTACTCTTCTTCTGTACTCCCTTTAATAGACAAAGGTTTTTTAAGGTGATTTTTTCTTGTTTTTGTTTAAAAAGTATTTTAACTTACAAAATTTCAGAACTTGGATTCAATTTTGTTTTTGTTTTGCTTGAAGTATTTATTTTATGGATTATGGAAGAAACAATATAACCAAAATAACCTAAAACCAAAAAGTTGAGCTCAGCTTTACGTAATTCCAACTGTTTGATTCCTAGTTAAATACTTTCTGACGCTGTTTCTTATCCTGGTGCCACAAAAATAAACATCCCTGCTCGCTTCGTCTCCCCTGTGCGAGTCTCTGTTCATAAACATCTTGGCTCAAACTTGTCCCACGCCCTTGTCCAAACGTTTTCGCCCCACAAACAAACAGACTGGAGTGCAGATCAAACACTGGTTCTCATGCCACATCTCCTTCATGGTTCCAAGGTTAGTGCCAAAGATGCCAGTCAGTCCCAGTCGCTCTCCAGATGACCAGTCCTGGAGGGCCGCCGAGAGCCGTGGGACGTCTGGGCTGAGCTTATAATCAACTGAGGTACATGATTTATAAATAAGTATGAACCAGTTGGAAATTAATAAATCATGTTAAACTGGAATTATTTCCCACAATTAAGTAAAAACATCCGATAATGACAGGTTCAGTCAACAAGAGCAGAACACAGACACCACCTACAGATTCCTCCTGCTTTCTTTCTGACCGCAGACACAAAACTATTGGATTACTCCAGAAGGCTGTAGCCAAGACGGAGAATCAATAGCGGAGCAGCACGGAGGACCTGACTGCTGCGCTGTCATGACCCCACAGTCCACAACTGAGACGTTAAGATAAGCACAAAGATCTGGATTTGTATAGAATCAGGAAAGATGCATCACCTTTAGTGTTCTTAGAAAACATTCTGAAAGTTACTTTTGATTTCAGCTTTGGTCAAATCTCTTCTTAGGGTGCAAAATTAGTTCACATTTTCTTATTACGTGCAGCATTTTCACAAAATGCACCACAAGTTTCTGTTCTTTGGATAGGGTGACTATTTCAAGACTGTCAAATATTTTGCTTACTGATCAGAAGTTTGGATAAATGCGTGTGTGGTCTTCCTTCTTTCAAGACATGCCACATGAAGGATGAGCAGCCACAGAATCACACTGACTGATCCTGGCTCAGATGAAGCGCTAACAGTAAATTAACTTCATGTTGTGTCACATTCTCTGAGTTCTGGTTCATATTTCATCTGGAGGAGAGTTTTCATCTTCCCTCTGACAGACAGGCTGTGTGACACAGCTTCAGAGTAGCGCGTGCCTGCAAACACCAGGCATGATGCCGCACTGCAGTGTTGGTGTGTGTGTGTGTGTGTGTTGACCTTTTAAATGCGACATGAACATTAAAGTGAGCAACAAAGAATCAGAATGAAAAAGCTAATTAAAATGATAAAATATTCAGTTCCTTCAGTGAGTAGTATATTAACATGAACACAGACGTAACTAAACCAGATCCAACTTCAGAACGGGTGTCGTCGGTCTTGAGACAGGACCAAGACAAACCCGGGTTGAGGCGTCAGCCTGTGTGTTTGAAATTCATACAGCGTTTTGCTCAAGTTCCTCTCTGCATGGGAAGCAGAGGGGAGGAGGTCACCCACTGTGTCCGGAGAGTCACGTGATGAGCCGAGGGAACGGAGGGGGTGAGCGATAACGGGGAGAGAGACGGAGAGGAGCGAGGGAAAGAAAACAGAGAGCATGTTCTCTGCAGACAGGAGCTGTCCTGTTGGAGTGATGCAGCACAGAGCTCTCCGAGAGGAGGACTTAAAGCACAGTCATCTCAGCCTCTC